GGGAATGGAGCATGGAGGCAAGCCCAAGCCCAGCTGAGTCCAACCCAAGCGGAAAGGAGCTGAGCCAAGCCACAGGCACTGTGCTGACAGGAGCATTATGGAGCAGGGTGGAGCTGAGTGGAGTCAAGCCAGGCCAGTCAGGGAGGTGTGGCATGGTGTGGACAATCCACCTTTTTGGGGTTTGTCTGTCATTATTTTTTGTTGGCTTGGGCTCAGGGACAGGGAACATCAGATGTGGAAACATCTGCCAGCTTTTCCTTGCCTTGACAGCAACAAAGCTGAGTTGAGGTGCTGAGTACCTTTTGGTGTGTAAATCACCCTCTGTTTTGTGTACTTTTATTATTCATATCATTGCTGTTACTGTTCATTCCTCATATCATTGCTGTTTGTTTTCAGTAAATTGTTATCTCAACCCATAGTCTCTGCCTTTGTCCCTCTCTTGCTCGAGGGGGTGGAATGAAGGGGAGCAGTTTGTTTGGAGTTTAATTCCCAGCTTGTTTTAAACCACCACAATTTACTACCTTCTTGTTAGTGAGCTTGCCAGAAAGCAGTTGTTAGAGTCTTAAGAGGTAATTGCCGAGGTGGGGTTTTGAGCAGTGACCAGACCATAGGCCAGTATTCCATAGTCTCTGTCTACATGCTCTTCTTGGGACGTATTAATGACTCCTGCCAGTAAGGGACTAATGCATTTCCTACTGACACTTCTGGAACTATTTTGTCAGTCTCCAAAGAGAGGTCTGCCAGGGTACTGCAGCTTTCTACATAGCTGAGTCTCATACTGGAGAATGACATGGGTGCCTTTTTGTGGGCTCTGCTTTGGACACCAGTTATTAGATGAAAAAATCTGAAGAGTTTCCTCATGGAAATAGTATTCTTCTCTTCAAGCAATAGAGATTTATAGGCTTGTTACTAAAAGTCAAGGAGTGATTAGAGGGGTTCCTCAGTGATAACATCAGGGCTATGCTTTTGTGTCTACAGGTAGTCCAGTATGACATAAGCTAAGTTCATGTGTCTTCTGGTGGCCAAGTGACAGGGCATTGCACTTACAGGCTACCAAAGTAGTGTGCTTACTCTCAGTGGTGACTTTGTATCCTCTGTCTCTACCTATCCCAAGTTAGTCTGGCTTTGCATTGCAGAGGGGCTCTATCATACCAGCTTGGGCCATCTTGGGAGGTCCATCTGGAGTCTTTCCCATACAGCCTTTTGAAACATTTCATCATTTACTTCTATTCTTGGAATTCTCCTATTACTTTGTTTTTATGATCTGTGCCTTTCTCTCCAAACAAGCGGTTATTAATAAGACAGTTATCCACCATAAAATGTTCTGAGTTTTAGTATTTAAAGCTTTGCTTTTCCCTCTGGCTTAAATCCATTACCTTTATCAGAGTTTACTTTTGAGTATGGCTTATTTATTTCTCCTGTTTTCCCAGTCTTTTGAAATGTATATGCATTTTCACTTGGAGACAAGAGAGGTTTGGGTTTAGAGATATAATCCTTACTTAAATTAGTCTTTTTTGGTTTTGGGATTGGAAGAACAGTCTGCTGAGTAAAGAGACTCTCACAATATGGGTTGTATTCAGGTTTCATGTGAATTAGCTCCACATAGTCTAGAGTGAGTCATTTACTTTGTTTTGCATTGATTTCACCAAATGTAAAATACGGTTATGGCTGAAAATCAGTGTGCAAGTGTTAAGTACTATTATTGGAAAAACAGCATATTAATCTTTAAACTACAATTTCCTACAAAAGAGGAGGAAGGCATAGTCTGTCTGTACTTTGGGGTCATTCCCTTTTTTAAATTCAAGTCAGCCTATCAACATCAATTTGACTTTGCTTTCACAGTTTGTGCTGAAAGCCGTCCCCTTTCAGATACCTTAAGCCTCCTGCAAACAAATAATGCAAATGAAATAGTAATAAAGCTACTGTTAGCTTTGTATAACAAATTTTATCTATTATTTAAATGACAATTATTTCCAGAAACTTGGCAACTGTAGTCATGCAAACAATGAAATTGATTCCGATCACAGCCCATCCTTCTAAAGCAAGGAAATACTGGTAGTGTTTTAAAAATGGATTATTAAGAACCTTGGTTTACTCAAGGTGGCTCATGTGTTGTATTTGCTAACACAGCATTTTGCTGGAAGAAAATAAGTGCAGCTTTTCCCTGGCCCAGATTATTTTTTCCACAAATCTCTGGAGCAGGAAATAAAAAACAGCTAATAGTTGTGGATGTGTGGAATTCATTTAAGCAAAGCTGAACCATGATCCTTCTGACTGCCTTCTCTTTCCTGTGCTGTTTTTTCTAATCCTGCCTTTGAGTACGTCAACAAATCTCTTCTAAGCTCAGAAAGTGCAGGGCAGTAGAAACAGTGATTCTTTCTCTGTCTCTTTCTGTCTTCGGTGTTTTTGTGGGGAATGATTTAAAACTGATATATTTTCAAACTGTCCTTGTTCTGGCCAGAACAAGGTTAATTTTTTGCAGTAGCCAAGAGTGGTCATGGCCAGGACCTGGAGGTTATTCTCTACCACCATGGCATTGTTGGGGGTGGGCAGAAGGTACTCTTTTCCAGGGAGAAAGGATTTCTTCCAGCTGAGTAAGCGCAGGGCCAGTCTTGAGCTGGAGTGAGCGGTGATGCTGGTTCTGAGCTGGAGGGAGCAGCTGGGTAGCTCCAGCTGAGTTCTGGAGATATCTCACAGAGCCCTGCTTTTGTTACAGATACATAATTCTTTTCTCACACAAGTTAATTATAAATCAAAATAACTTGACAGAGAGCACAGAACCTATTAAACAAATCTGAAGAAGCAAAGTGTATGCATATTGAAAAGCAGGAAAATACCTGTGATTTCTGTATGGCCTATTTACTTCTGGTATACAAGAAAACATTACCTTCTTATTTCTCTAGTACTGGAAGTATGTGTTTTACAGGAATAGAGCAGGTATCTATTTTCTGAGGATAAATGAAGCATACTGGATATATGCTCCACTTCCCCAGAAGCTGTGTACCCGAGGACAATAATGATGTCATTGTCAAGGCTTCAAGAATGCAGAAAACATTCAGGAAATAACTTATATAAATGACTCTATTTTACTGTGCAGCAGTAGATGTGGTTGATATCACTGGTGTGCTTATGGTCATCCTCAGAAAACAAAAACTTTTCTTTGTGATATTATAATTATTGATCTTAAACGAGAACATAAGCTCTTCACATTGCCTGAGAAAGTAGTGGTTTTGTTTTGTCTGAAGTGTTTGGTTTATAAATTAAACTCAGTCACTGAAAGTAGTTTTGCCATCTCTGTCTGTCTTCTCTCTCACGATTGTTTATTTTTAGGCAATCTGTGTTCTGTAACTAAATACTTTCAACATCTTCACAAGTAATCTTGACAAGCAGAACCAGTGTTGTTGAAGTGATTTCAGATGATTAAATGTTAAATGATGTTTTCTTCCAATCTGGTTTAAGACAGCAAAAATGTCAACAAAATAAGTGAACCAATATACTGCCTGCTAGTTAAGCATCAGGAGAAGAAAAGAAAAATTAAATGCAACATATGCTAATTTCTTACATGTTGAACTTTGGAGTCAGTGACAGAGACTTTTGTATCCTGGTTTGCGATGATTACGTTCAATCAAAACAAAAGGTTGAACTTTTTAAAGGAAATATTTTTCTAATAGTGAAAATTTTTCTTTCCATTTCTTATTTTCAGCAATCTTATTCAAACTATATGGGGTAATATGGCATCAACTGATTGGTAATGTTGAACATAACCATTTGGCTTATCTATAGTCAGGAAAAAAAATGAAGATAAACTAATTTTTTTTCCATGGTGATGCTTCATTTTAATCTCATCTAACACAGCATTGTTTTGAAAGTGCTGTTGCATCTGAGGGGATTTGATGCTGCAGCCTGTCTGGGTTTAGAGATAGAAGGACAATTGGGAAAAAATGAAGAGATTGTCAGAACTGGAGGAAGCCTGTTTGAGTGTATTGTCCATGGAGTGTATTGATGTATCTGGGCAGCGCCTTGTGTTCTTCTAGGAGGCAAAGTCTGCTTGGGTTGACAGAAAGAAGGACAACATCCACTGAAGGCAAATCTATCAATGGCCCTAGAAAATGTCTTACTGAGGGGGGCTCCTGGTTTTGAGGTACAAATGGTCACTCTGTTCATGAAAGAGCTCCCACATTTTTAAGGGCACAAATAGTCTTGACAAATTTAGTGAGAATGAAAGTACTTTTAGACTTTTACATTACTATAAATTGATGACTTTGTGAATAAAAGTCCTAATAGTGAAATCTGAACAAGTAAGGAGATAATTACATTAATTCCTAAAATGATACCTCCCCTGCATTTCCCATTTTGTCAATGGCTGGCATTTTATATGCTTTTGGGTTTCACTAATCTGTATTGTAAAGGCAGGTGGAGTTACATCTGCGTATTTCATGTATTGCAGCACTTAGTAAGGAAAAGTGAGAGAGACAAGGAGCGTGTGCTCACCAGCCAAGCTAGAGTAGATGATGATGGGTGGCACAGGTATATGTGACACCTTAAACACAGATTGGAGTCAGAGGGAATTGTCCCTGTAGCTGAGGTCCTTCTGGTTTCTCACTCAGTGCCTCCCATCAGGAATGTGTGTTTTCCTGGTGCCTACATCAGTGCAAGAAACAGCATTTCAACATCTTATCACTTGAAAGAGCACACAACATACAAGGTTGGCACCTTCAGCGTGTTTAAAACCTAGAGACCTGGCTTATTGCAGTACATATTTAGAAACTAATGCAGTGACAAACAAAATTCGGTGGAGCTCCGCATATATACTAAACCATATGTATTGCAAGTAAGCACTGCTTAAAAGACAAGAAAACATTTTCCAGTTGCCACGTTTTAACAGTTCCTTTTACACGAATCCGTAACATGGGCACTTTTGAAACTTAAGTGATAGATACACAATCCTTCTCATACTGTCAGAAATTCTTTTACTCAACTATTCCTGTTCTTTTCTTTAGGAAGGTGAAAAAAAAGGATTTATGAATAGACTTTATGCCATCCAGGAGGTGTGTGTCACTGTTCAGAATATCCTTGATGAAATCGCTTCATTTGGCGAAAGGATCAAGAAGTAAGTGCTGACACAGGTGCTGGATTGCTCCAATATTGTTCATACTTTTTTCATGCAGAGATATGAAATATTAGACCTTTATTTATTTATTTCAGGGGACTTCAGTTTTGGATGATCCATCGTTCAAACTCATTTGTATTTACTTTGCATGTAGAGGCCCTCAGTCAATGAAAATCTTGCCGTATTAATTCTGGAATTTAGGATTATATTAATTGGGAAAGAAATCAGAACTAAAGTTTTTAAGTAAACCAGAAAGAGAATCGTGTTGAGAGGTCTAACAGCAGTAGTTATTTAAAAGTAATAATAAAAAATGCAGCTTTGATGAAGGGAAATAGGCAGAGCTCAATAGTATTTTAACGACGTGCATATGTTCACTTGCTGGAAGTTGTATTTATGCACCTTAGCAAAACCTTTCCTTCTAGAGTATTTGTAATTTGTAATACTTAATACATGATATATAAGGATTGTCAACAAATCCAGGCATTAAGAAAGAGAGGATCTGATATTTACTGAAGGAAATTTGGTGTATTTCTGGCATGGTCAGTGAACAGCAGCACAAGATTTATTTGAGATGAGACAGAAAGATGCCTTCCAGCTGTCAGTTGCAGAGCAGAGACAGGATTGACTTCATTTTTCTGCACCTCAAAAGCCAGGCGCATCACACCCCCATCTGATTCATTTCGGTTGTGAATTTTAGGAAACTGGTGCCTTGGGTGGAGGTCAGTCTGCAGAAATCCTGAGGATCATCTCTGATCTGTTCTGTTCTGTCTTGATGAAGAGGAAGTTGCCATTTTTGTGTTTAAGAGCAAAGTCCCTAATAGGAAAGCCTGGGAAATAGTCCCATAGGGACACTTCCAGGCAGGCTGTGTTCACAGCAGCAGAGGCAGGTGCAAGCATGTTGTATCACACAAGTCTTCCAGTTAAAAAAATGAGCCTGTCTCTGAAAAAAGTCTTTTATCAAAAGGCTATTTGTGGAAGTTGTCTTGATGATTTAGTATTTTTAATTGTGCATTTTGGAAGTAGGGTTTGTTCTGTTATATACCAGATGAGAGTAACAGAGTTTTCTAAACTGAGTGAGACTATAATTCTTTGCTCCTAATTTGCTTCTAAAACTATAATGGGAAACCTGTACTGAATGCTGTGCTAACACAGCACATAAGGAGGTTTGCTAAGTGAGGAGCCAGTGCTCCCACACATGGTGTCTCTGTGATCCATTGCATACAGCCGAGTCACAGGAACATGAGCAGACCTTCTGTTCATCCCAAAGGCATACAGAAGAGGGGAAAAGAGCAGGTGTCCCTTGAGGATAAAAGGAGGAATCCGACACTAAGTGATGCTAACATAATGTTCATTCTGGAGACATGTCAAAATTGCCAGCAAAAAAATAAGACAAATAAACACAGGAAGCCAGAGCTCATTATGAAAAATATGGCTAGCAATTCAAATAATTGCAATTATTCTGCTAGAGAAGCCAAAATGATGTAATCACATTGATCGGGGATGTAGTTAGTAGGAATACTTCAAAGAGTATCATGAGGCTATTTAGAGCCAAAGCCACATTTTCCTTCTGGATAAATGTCATGCAACGATTTTGATATGGTGGTGCCTTCATGGAACAAACCCACTGAGCCAAGCTCCCCTTAACCAGCATTCCTGTGGGACATACATGTAAATTTATCATCTGGCCTTTCTCTCTTCCCTGCACATGGAGGCTGGAGACCCACAGCACACTGTTTCAAGACTCATTTACTTTCCCTTCCTCACCCCTTGATCTCTGCAAAGTTAGGTGACCAGCAGTGTTTTGTCACAGCATTTGGGACTGTTAGTAAGGATGTTTTAATCTGTAACTTTTGGAAAAGGTAGTGAATGTCCTGAATGTCCTGAAACTGTGATGGGATCCCAGAATTTTTTTCCTTTATCCATAGATAAATAAACTTTACTTATTTCATTTTATTTTATATTTTATTTTATCAGGTAGATGAGCTTTCCTTTGCTTTCTCTGCAAGATACTTTACGTTATGCCACTCCCTCCTTTTTTCTTTCTTCTGTCCTTGTCCTTTCTTTCTTTCTCTCTTTTTTTTTTTTTTTTTTTTTTTTGGTCCCAATGGGATTTTATTTCCTTCCTTCATGTAGTTCTGCCTTCAGGACTGACTGTTGTACACCCTCCTTTTTTTTTTCCCCTTAACTCTCTCCTCCTTAAGCTCATTGGATGAGTTTCCAGCTTTGCATACCCATACACTTACCTTTTCCTTTTCTCCCAAGACAGAAGGGCACCTGGTTGAGGAGTGCACCTATAGAGACAGAAGGGAATGTCCCTGCTCAGTCTTTAACTGCTGGTGCTGCCCTTACAGTGGAACAGTGAGGTGATAAAACAGAAAGCCTTAGCAGTACTCTTCCAACTATTGTCTCCTACCTCTACGCTAGTATTGAAGAAAGGAGTCTGAGTTGCCTGTGCGAGTACGTTTGGTGAATAAAGAGCTCTGTGTATCTTGCCTGATGCTAAAACTGAAGACAGGCACTGAGATTTCCAAAAAGCAGAGCAGTAGTTCTCCTGGCAGATGTCTGCTCTTGGGCAGGGAGAGGTGCCTTTCAGCAGGCAAGTGGTTGAAGGCAGGACTTCCTTTCATTTCCACTAACAGTGGGTCCAAGTTCAGTCTCTCCCTCATGTCCAACATCAATGCATTCATTTGTAGACTCAGTTTGTGCACCCTGACAGAAACTGGCACTTCTCCCACTGTCCCACCCATTATTTGCTGTTTTATTGGCTTTGTTGGCTGGCCTCAGTTCTGACTTCTGGTAATTTTTCTTTCAGTACATTCAACTGGACTGTCCCATTCCTTAGCTGGCTGGCGATTGTTGCCCTCTCTGTGTTCACTGTCATCCTGTATTTCATTCCACTGAGATACATTGTTCTTGTCTGGGGTAAGTAAAGCCTTTTTAAATTGTCTGTACCACTTAAAACCCCCTGCTTTTTAAGAGATGGCTTACATTGTCAGTACTTTTTGGTATTTATGGTCATGAAGCTGTCCCATGATGGAAACAAGCAGGTTAGCTAAAAATTGCAACTGTGTAAAGATGTAGGCCCATCTGCAAAATGCATTTTTCTTGGCTGGCATTGTAGACTTAATCATGCTATGAACATGTAGCCATGAGGATTTTTCATATATCAAAGTGTAGCTTTGCCTAGATATTACTCTGATTTATTTTCACTACTTATACACAAACAGGGGCATTTCAATCTATATAGTCCATTTAGGACAATATGCCTTTTTAACTGCAGTACTTCATCTTACGAAAGTGTATGTAAACATAGCAACAACAAACCTGTTTAAGGGGTCACCTTTGGTTGGACAGAAAGGGATGGGTGGTATTTGGCTGGTTGATAAGGAACAGAAAGTATGGGTGGGTAGGGAGGTGGAATTATGATTGATCTATGCTCTCAGTACCATATCAATTGTCCTTATATCAATTCTTTATACTGATTTTAAAAAGTTACCATTACTCCAACTGTTGTAAATAATGCTCCAGGTTTTCATTTCTACATCTTTTCATACATCTTATATACCACTGGCAGCTGTACCCTTACTCAATACCACAGATTTGTGAACAGCATAGTCTCAGTTAAATCTGTGGCTAGATTTTCTTTCTGAAGAAAGAATAACAATCACATTTTTATAAAAAACTTTTGCATTCAGGAGACAACACAAAATCATCGAGCTGACTTTAAAGAATTAATTTCTAATTTATCACTCAGTATTACTAATTTCTTAGTGTTTTCACAAATAATCATAGTAGAATATATAAAATGGAGAAGAAGCAATAAAGAGGATATGAACAAAAGTGTTTCTACAGAACTAACAGAAATTAGCATGGGGGCTTCCTTTCTTTTCCTGTCTTTGGAGTTTAGTTCTCCGCCACATACCCTATCTCACTTAAGTGTAACCCAAACTCTTGGTTTGTTCCCAAAATTTCATTCTTCCTAGCCCATACACATGAACATTGAAGTAGCTGGTCTGTGTGTCCTTTTTCTTCCATTTTTCAGACAGTTCTGAGATCTTGCTTTCTTATATCCCCTTTGTTTGATGCAAGAACATGAGATTATAATACTCCTCCAAGACCCACAAAACTATAGAGTGAGAACTGTTCTTTGAAAAGCTCATGACTGATACCCCAGGAAGGGTCACACTCCCACAGAAATGTCTTTGTTTCAGGTAAAGCAGAGCCTTAACTCCCAAGCCTCCCAAACCACGGGTGTATATTATAAGCGCAAATTATTATAAATGCACCTTGCATTCTTTCCATCTCTTCCCTCATTGCCCCCAAGTTATATGGTCTACCTACGTATGACTTCAAGGCCATTTGTTTACTAGAGGTTTCAGCACCACGTTTTTCTCCTGCATTTCGGTTTAGGTGCCTTCTTACTCAGCAAGTGTGTGTGGAGCTCTTCTTTAGGGATCTGTTTCTCTTGCATTATGCCAGGAGGCCAGACAAGTACTGCATAGCTACAGCTCCCACAGTCCAGACCTTCTCAGGGTGAAATGCATTCGCACGGAGCCATGTCGTGCTGAGCATAGCTCTGTGCATCTGTCCCTTCAAAAACAGTATTCCAAACACGTTCCTGTTTCCTCCATCATGGTGTGTTTCTAGCCTCTCCCGTGTATATACATTCCTTCATCCCATTCATCCATCCTGCACTTGGAAGCCTTGGAAGCTTCTGTTTTCTGACCTTTCTCCATAGGAATGTTTGAGCTGGTCTGTAGCAGCATTTGCCTATTTTGTTCTTTGAAAAATCAGAGGTTTTAAATGAAAATTCCTCCATGTTATGACACATCCTTTCTGTAGCTGTCTTTCTTCTTTGCATCTGTAGGGATTGCCTCTGTCAGCATGCCCTGGCAAGAGATTCTCCATGCTTTCCCTCCTAGCCATCTCCCTCCCCAGGAGACTACTGGTCTTTGAAGATGTGGTGTGTTAGGTGTGGTGAAACAGGACTCACCTCTCCATCCTAATCCTTTTCAGTGATGTGCAGAGTCCTGGTAACAGCTACAGCTGTTTATGTGGAAAAAGTATAAAGATTATTATGTTATTCTGAACATTTTCAAGCAAAATTAATCCCCTTGTTGTATTCTGCTTCCCCTGTAGTTTCTCATCTCCTCTGTGCAGTGCTTTTCCTTTCTCAAGCCTTGACCATGATTTATTCATGCATTTATTTTCACGGGATGACTGGTATTTTTCTTTATCAGATGTGACAAAGTGAAACCATATCAGCTCCTGAATTCAGCCAGGGGTGGTCCAGTGGCCACATGCAATGAACAGTAGGGTTGACCTTGAATTTCTCAGTCGCTTGCTATGCAAAGCATCTTCTTAAAGGTGTTGACCCTCAGATGTTCCTTCTGAACACTCACTGTTCAATCACCAGATAAAGGAATGGCAGCACCTCCTATCTACACCACAGAACTGGGAATTCATGCAGTGGAAAGCTGGTTTTAACAAGACTGAAGCTTACATGCCCCATCCATAGCCCATAAGTCCTTGCTAAAGCTTTCTGAAAGGTCTGGGTGCCAGAGACTATATTATCTTATATCTGATACAGCCTGGATAAATTATACAGAAAGGCCCATTTTTAATGCTGTCTTGGCTATCTCCTGCTCCTGAAAGTCTATGTAGTTTGTACTGTTTCTGCTCCTGTTTTAGACGTGTGTTCCCAGAGCCCACAAACTGGGTTCTCAAAAAGTGTATGAGTCTTTGAGTTATGATAAGAAAATAAGTCTAATCTAAAAACCTTCTTTCTGCTTAGTCTGTGGAGGATTTTTCTTGGTGCTTCTGAACACAAATTGTCAGTAGGCATTATAAGACCATGATATCCAATAGAGACATCTCTCTTCTCTTCTCTGCACTGCCTTCAGCTCATCTGTATTTTTCACTCCCAAACAGAGGTTTGTGCAAACTCCTCTGAAGCCTTCACATGATACAGACTTCACTACTTCCCATACTTCAATCTCCAGAATCTTTCATGAATGTTCTGTCCTGCAATTAAGCCCATTTCTGCTCTTCCTCTCCAGTACAGAAATGAAGTACTCTTTATTGCTCTCTTTTTTCAAACTCCTCATAATAATCACAGTTTCTGTTACTTTCCAAAAAAATGTATTGAAGGAATTTGAAAATACCCCTCAAACTTTTGCACTTTGAAACAGGGAACCACAGCAGCAGATTTCAACATTTGGAGCCTGTATTTGCAGTTTATTAATTCATTCATGCATTCATTCATTCCTTCCTTCATTCATTCATTCATTCTTTCATTCAGTGTTAATGTCAGAATTAAAGTGGGTCTAAAATCTTTTATAAAACTTTGCCAAAAATACGTGAGTTTTTCTAAATGATTATAGTAACATTTGAACTTTCACTTTTGCAGGCATCAATAAATTTACAAAGAAGATTCGAAATCCATATGCAATTGATAACAACGAGCTACTCGACTTTCTATCCAGAGTTCCTTCAGATGTTCAAGTGGTATGAATGTATTTTTTAAGAGTCCTTTCTGGTTTTGTTTGTTTTAAAACAAATTCTTAAAGCAGTTGTTTTGATTTAATATTATACTCTCTGGCACAAAGAAATTGCAAAGTCAAGCTGGGGATAGTTCATGAACTGTTAGGAGGTTGATAGACCTTTTTCTGGGGAGAAAGTAGGTACTACCTTGGTTGTGCCTCTGAGGATCCTTAGGACAGTAAGTATTTGTTAGATGGTAGCAGATGCTAGAGCTTGTTTTAAACAGCCTCCAGCATCATGTGAATCTGACTGGGATAGGACACTATGTAGGAAATACTGGAGCTGAGGCTGTCAGGACATGCAGAGAAGGAATAGGAAGGTCAAATAATGGAAGAGGCAGCACCAGACAGTGTTGCCCACTATCTTGTGACAGCACTCTGAGAGCACTTTGGCCTTTACTTTTCTGAGGTGAAAGCTTTTGTTGTGGCCACAGTTCAATTGTGCTCATAAACTCCTTAAAAAAAAAAAAAAACTGGTTGTGAATTACAGGCTTTTGTGATGCACTACACAATCTCCTGGAAGGATGTGAGCTTTAAGATAACATCAGGCACATAAATCACCTCCAGTATCACAAAGATTATAGACTTCACATATTTCTAGTTTCAATTCAGAGCTGGTATAAGTAGGAGGTATGGGTACACATACCTTCTCTGAATCTGATACCCTCTGTGGCAGGCATTTGGAAATCAGCAAGTTTTTAAGAAACATTACAAAGAATATGCATCCAGTTCAGCCAAGAGGATACTGTTTATTGTCTGTAAGAGCTCATGGAGAAAAAAAAATAAAGAGTAATAACCTTTTCAAAGCTTACATCAGTGCACAGTGTTATTTCCTGGCAGGATTTTCCTAATGTTGATTTTCCTTCTTACTCAACAGAATTTGTCATTCTGTTGTTGTTGAATCACATCTGCAAATCTGGTATAGTTTTTAGGGGGAAAGTTTTCTTTATCTTTTTTAACCCTGGGGGAAAAGAAAAAGTGGTTTTCCTTTTTCCTAGGAAGCACCACCTGACCTCTTTCTTTCTGAACTTTGTGTTTAAACAGATGCAATATCATGAACTGAAACAAGATCCCAGTCACAGCCCAAGCAAGAGGAAGAAAAACAACCCTGCCTAGCCAACTTCATGTGTTGAGGAGACTAGCATCCACCAGGGGAGAACAAAAGAGCAAGCCTAGGCAGCATTTCCTTTCCCTAAGCTTTTTATTTATTTTGCCTTTTTATCTTGTGAGGAGATTTTGTAAATAGCGTAAAAAGGTGTTTCTCATTGAAGATCTCTTTCTCACTGTAAAGACATTTGTTTCAAGTAACATTTTTGGCTTTTGAAAGCCTTGTCAGGAACAGCATAATGCACTATATAATGCACTATAAAGGAGTCAATCTAAAGTGGTAAATATGCACAGCTGCTTGGTAGTCAAAGATACATTAATACTCAATCATCTGACTAAACCTCCAAAAGGTGTGAATTTAAATCTTACTCAAAAATTTGTCAGTATCATCAAGTAAGTCACCATTACAATGGTAACATTACTGTGTTTTATACATTTCATGAGAAACACAATGTGGTAGAGCCTACTGCACTTAAGTTTTAGCAGATTTTTTAGTTCTCAGACCTTGATGTTAACTTCTGGTGCAACATTTTCCTGTGCAGGTGGTCTGCTTATAAGATAATGAGAAACACCAAGTGCAAATCTCTTTCTGGAGCTCCCAAAAGCAGTTCCTGATGTCTTTATCATTCCATTGTAAGATCTAAAAATCTCCATCTCTCTCAAAATACTGCCAGGTTTATAACTGATTGCCTGTCTGATTTTTCTATATGTACCAGTAGTCTTCATTTGTACTACATCGTTTAGTGAATAAAGTTCATAGTTTTGCTGTAATGGAAATAGTATCAAACTAACTCCATATTGCTTTCGGTGTCATGCTATGAACACTTTTTGTGCACATAACTATTTTAATACGGAAATCTTGCAGAAAATGTTTTTCTTTCAAATCACAAGATCATATGCTTTACCAAGCTGAAATATAGTCTAGAGGAAAAAAATGCAGTTGTGGTAAAACTGTTTTATTTTCTTAGCTATTGATGTCACTTCTTCTGATACAATCGTTATCTACTGCATGGAAACTGCATTATCTTATAAATTACATGGAACATAGATGAGAAACGTTTACATTTCAACTGTTTTAGTGGCCACTGCATAATGAGTACTTGGGGATATATTCTGGTAGCTGCATGCAGACGACATAGTGAGCAGAGACTCATTCCTGAGGGACCACCTGTACACAGCTCCTCATCATAGCTCCCAGTGACATTAAAGGGATTTTTGCCCTGCGGAGAGTGGCAGGACTGCATCCTCGAGGAGAGCTGTGGTCCTCTCTGGGTTACCTCTCATTGGTTGCAATTGCAGATGAAGTTATATTGCACTACTCTAATAATACTTTTTGAAAGGACTATTTAGAAATACTTTGCAAGCACATGTTTATATATATTTGTCTAAAGAATTATATGTTAGCTGCATTGCTCATGAAAGATCATCCTGGATTTGTTTATTTTGCAGATAAGATGATAGCCAAGTTCTGATGTGACAGTAATTTTGTTCTTTCTGTTTGTATATTTGAAAGAATGCCAATTCTGTTCTGCAGAAAGTCTTGTCCTTGTTACATCATGACTTTAAAAGAGTTTTGGCTGTATGATGCCTGAAGACCAACATACTATTGATGACATGAGAATCACTGAATAGCTTTTTAAAAAAGCCAAATTTTTGACTCAACAATTATGTGAATGTTTGTTTCCTGTTGTCAGTTTTGTGCAGTTCTTTAATACACTGCAGGCCTTGTACCTTCTTAATGTTGCCCACCAGTCTGTGTGTGATTTCCTGTTGTCTTTTTTTTCCTGTACCCAATTTCAAATGTCTACTTTGATGGTAGTGTCTGAGTTAGCTATGCACGTTTCCTGCATTAAACACACCTTTAACATCACTCTTTTCTATTACGAAGCCTCTGTCTGTGAAATCCTATGCTGTCGTTTTTCCCTGAGTGGTATGACGTGCAAGTGTCAAGGAAAGCATCATATTTCTGTGTGCAGCATTTCGGTATTTTAAGCTCCATAACATGCAGGTGGAGGGGGCAGGGAGAGAAAAACATCTGTTTGTTGAAAATCGGTCAATTCCTTTTAAATGCCTCAGTCACTCAAAATTGATCTCACTGAAAATATAATGCACAGAGGCAAGGCTAAGAATGCATGTGTATTAAATACAATTCTCGTGCCATGGCAAGACAACTTAAAATCACAATTTAAAATAGTTTGTGAATGAACATGTTTTCACTATTTGTAGTTTCTCTACTCTGCTTTGTGTGAGTGGCCTCTGTAGAGAACCAGTCCTGCTTTATGCCATAAATATTTCAACATACCTTCCTTTTCCAGATTGGTTCTAAAGTCCATTTCTAACCTGTTAGATTTACCAGGCTTTATTCTGAAAGTTACTTGTTCATAAACAATCATGAATTAATAAGGCATCACAATCATGAAACTCTTTCTGCTCTCAGAAAATAAAATTTAGTGCCTTTATTTGGGTCCATTGAAAATTATTAGTTAGTTGGGGTCCACACATACAGTAGGTGTCAGAGCTTTCAGGATCCACTAAGACTGATTGTCTGAGAGGCTTTAGTTACATTTCTGCTGGTAATTCACAGTACAGAGGTTGCTTACCCTGTTTTTACAGCTGTTTCTCTTTGTAGTAAAGAACGCCTAAGTGTTTTTCATAATAGCAAAGAGCTTTAACTGAGAGAGCTATGTACTGTAACTTAGTATTTTAAATCCAAGTGCAATAACCTCCGAGATGTTTTTCTGTTGCAATTAAACCAACGATGGAATAATGAAAAAGCGGTTAAGCAACCTGCATATACTCTTATCAGCTAATGTGGTCTCTGAGAGCATAAGCTCTACTGACAAGAGGAAGAGCTGCTGGCCCCTCCTACCTTTTCTCCACTTTGGCCTGCATTCTCTAGGTGACCAAACTTGTCTCCTTCATTTCCTGGTCACCACTGATACTATCAATTAAACCTTAATTGGAAACTGTTGGCTTTGTCATCCTATTCTGCATTTTCTCCCTACTTTTATTTTTGATGGGCTTCTTTTCCTTATCCACATTCTTTGAGTAATTCATCTTCTTACAGATGTAACTCCTTGACAGTATGGTCACAAAGCTTCAGCTGCTGGTTTTATGTCATCATTTCAGTTTCCCTCACTTGCTTCCTACCTCTGCAGTTCAATATTTGGTTTCTCACTGCTGCATTAAGCAGTCATACATACCTGTCTTTCATTAGCTCTGCTTTTCTCATCTGCAGTGCGTCCCATCTAGACCAACCTCGTCATGGTACTCCACGTTCAGACTTTGTTGGATCCTCCCTCCCTGGTGGTGACATATTTTGAAGTTATTCCCTGTGACAGTGCAGAAAAGAAAAGTAAAGAAATTAAAATCTAATTTTAACAGAAGGAAATATCTTCTGAAAGATATATATAACGATGTGTAACTGTTTCTGCAATATATGTGCATCTTGCTTTGGCTACTGGCTTCTGAAATAACTGAGCTTATAGATTTACTCTGCTCCAGTTAAAGGATTTGGATCTCTGTGTGATTTGCATCAAATCATAAAGGGCATTTGATCTGGGGGGAAACCAATTAACATAAAGGCACACCAAAACAGAAAACCTGTAATTTATTAAGTATGTGTTTAAAATTGGCAAATGTAACAAGCTTGGGTTGCTTGGGACCAAGGGGGATTACTCTAATGAATTCTCCATCATAGAAAATGGGTTTTCACTGTGCAATTTACTGTTCTTTGTAAAATCCTATGCTTCATAATTAAATACAGCACTATGATTTTTGCAGTTTGGCTTTTTTCTCTACAGGATAATGTGTAGGCTGCACTTTGAGCAGACATTTTCACAACAAAGAGTGGCATCTGAAAAAGAAATGCATTTTTGAAATAGTTGACAATTAACATCACTTGGTGAAGATGCCAAATGTCAGGAAGTTTAAAGCCAGGGTTTGCATTTATCTTTTGATTTAAATTGTGATAAAGCAAAGGGAGAGTAACAAACAGTTGCAGATGCAGAGAGTGTGCTGTCCTGGAGCCACCAACAATGCATTGCTGACAGTAACTGAGACAATCATGCTTGTAGCAGAGGACGCATGCAATACATTTTCCGTGAAGAGCTTTATAGAGCTTCTGCCCAGCTGCCATGTCTCAAGCAGGTTCATTAGTTCAATATTTTTGTGAGTGCTAATTTAAATGACCAGGGTACAATAGAAAAATTAATAATGGTGCAAGGGAAGGAGGGAGTTTCTTGGGTTTTGTCCATCTCAACTGAATGTTAAAATCCTCTTTCTGGTCTCAATACACAGTTGAGGAAATGTGACATCACTGCAGCTAACTGAGAAGTCCTGAGCTTTAAGAAACCCTAGTTCCTATACTGAGAGTTCAGTTCATTTGCACAGAGTGTGCTTCCAGGGCTAATGCTGAACAGTAGCCACTCCCCTTACATAACGCATGCAACAGGATAAGTCCATGTATCTCAGATTCTCTAATCTCCTCAATGATCAGAAACATGTAAAATGTGATGTCATTTACAAATAATGTGTTTTAAATCTAATTTCTCAGTCCCTACATTTAGAGAATGAAGTGCAGTTGACAGCTTTTCTCTTAATTTCTGTCCTGTTCAGCCTGCTACCAAGGGCAGAGGTTCAACCATAGAATGAAGAACTACAGGCATCAACTATGTGTGCACTTCATACAATAGACTGCTATTATATGAGAAAATAAATTTGCAATCTTAACCCAGAACAAGAGGACACAGTTCAGGTGTACAAGTAGTTTTGCAAGGCCTGTGATGCTAAAATAGAGAGAGTTTGATGCATGAGCTATTTGATGGATAAGGAATTGGCTGGACTAGGCATCCAAAGTGTTGCAGTCAGCAAACAGCTCAGTGTTGAAATGGAGATCAGTAATAGGTGGTGTGAATTCATTGTCTTGGGACCAATACTATTTAATATTGACATCAATGACATAGTGACATAAAGTGTACTCTCAGTATCACGAATGACACCAAGCTGAGTGGCACAGTTGATTTGCTGTAGGGAAGGGATGTGTATCAGGTCTTCAAAAATCAAGTGTCTTTGACTTACAGGAGAAGGCTTAAAAACTTGCATGGTTTATATTCAGAGTAGAACTGAAAGCATCCTACCACCCAAACACACACCTAAAGCATTACAAGGAGTCAGGAGAACACGAAGGTGTCATGAAAGCTTCTGTAGTTTGCACTCATCAAAGGAAACAGATGGGAAAGCCCATCTTGTGTTGTAGCTTTTCTAAAATGGAGACTGTGTTTCCCTAAGCACTAATAAAATACCTTAAATTTCTCATAAACTGTAGAAGTGTTTTGGGGTCATCTTCCTACCTCAGAAAAAAAAGTTTTACTCTGCTAATAGAGAGGTAGTAATAATAGAGCTAATAATAGCTGAGAGGTGCATTGCTAAAGCCTTGAACACTCCACAACAGTTAATCTCTACCAGCAGGATGTAGAGGTCAGCTTCAGTAAGGCTGCTAGAGGGCAGGTTCAGACATGCAGAACTGTAATGATGACAACCACAGCTCGGATGACATGAAGCTGACCCAGCTGCAGCGTCTTAATTTCAGTGTAGTGAGTATGGCACTTGCCCTAGACAGGAGCCTGCAGTTTCACTTTCTGTTTATCCTGAGTGGACCCAAACCCATGACACATAGTTTTTAGAAGGATGCCATAGTAGATATGAGGTTATTCAGATGAAGGGAAAGGGATAGCTACTCTAATTAATTAGAGTATTGATCCTCTTGGAGCTGGAGCTCAATGCAGAAGAGGATTCAGGACTGACATACAAGATACAGAAGAGGCAGCGGGCAACAGAAAAAGTTAGAAATAAAACTAGCAAAAATGTATGCAATTTTCAGGAAGGTATCATAGAAACAAGAGTGTGTATGTACTTCCCTGCAGGATAAAAGAAATGTCTCCTCCCCACTTTGAAGATACCCTGGCCTGTAGAGGTTTCTGGGAATGGATACAGTTTTGAAAGATAAGCATAATCCTCATCCTGCTTTGTAGGGACCTATCTCCCCCTGAGTCACTAGACAGAAGTCTAGAGGGGACCTAAAAGTTTTTCCTTGGATCTGACAGTTGCTAACAACTCATGTTATTTGCCTGTTATTTAGAAGCCTTTACTTCACAATGATGCACAGTGTAAAAAACCCAAAATTTGTGCTTAAATTTTTAAACGGGAAATATTTGAAACAGAACCTACTTGCCTATTTGTAGTCTGTCATGCAAAGTAAGTGTTTTTGTTCTTTCCCTTCCAACAGACTGTGATGGCCTCTTCCAGCAGACCCACTGAATGTTGTTTCGTTGATGGCTAGCAGTCACTATAGGTAAATGAAATAATATCATATGAATCCTCTGTGTCCTAAACCTGATACTGCTGTGACGCAACATACATGTGAGAGGCTTTTTTTGGATTTGTGGAGAAACAAAATCAAAGCAAAAAACACCCTGTCCTGGTTTCAGCTAGGACAGAGTAATTTTTGCAGTAACCAGGAGAGGGTGTTGCTAGGACATAGAGTTATTCTATAGCAACTCATGTCCCACTGCTGGTGGCATGGGAAAGGGACTTCTCCAGGGAGCAGGAGTTCCTTACCATCAAGAAAATGTGGTGGAGGGAGCTGTATGGTATTGTCTATCATCAGGATGAGTTCCGTGTGAATATTTTTTTTTGTACCCTCTGTCATTACTGTTGTTGCTGCTGCTGTTCATTTTTTCTTATCTCCTTGCTGTTTCCAGTAAATTGTTCTTATCTCAACCTGTAATCTTTGCCTTTTGTGCCTCCAAGTCTGCTCTCCATCACACCACAGAGGGGAAAGGGAGGGGGAAAAAGTGGGGAAAAGAGGCAATGGCACATGGTTTGGAGAATCTTGGTGGGGGCACTGAACTGGGGAGCACCATTCCTAAACCAGGACAGTCTTATTTGGAGCCCAGTGTGGCACATGGAAAATTGAGATAACAGATCTGACCACAGTGGGTTGGAACAAATTTGATCTAAGCATTTGTTGTATTAGGTGTGGACCCACTGGTCACAATGTTGCTTGGTCTATTCTCATGGGTGTGGTACCTAACCCTGTATAGATGCCCTTATTTGCTTCTTCCAGTGCTCTCTTTCAGAGCAGGTGGAGGGGTCAGGATTGCCTTGTTGCTCTATGGTGGGATATCAGTTTATGACATGATAACAAAGGGCAATGAGGCTCATTTGAGATGTGTATATTCAGTGTTGCTCTCCTACCCTTCCCTCAGGTGTTACCTTTGAGAATAAATCAAATCTGTAGGGGAAACAGGGGAGAATGATTTTCTCTAGCTCTTCACCTTCTCAACTTCAGGATTGCTAAAATAGCTTTCGAGAATTTTGAATTTCCCTTTGGAAGTTCAGGAAAGCACGTTCTCATTGCTAGGTCTGCCAGGTCTCTTCAGTGCAGTCCACACCGTGTTTAAAAGTTACAAAAGAAATTTTTAGGAAGGCTTTTCAGAGATTTCTTCAATAGTTTGGATATTCAGCCCTGAACAACACTCTTAAAGTGCTAAAATATGTGAAAGGAAAAATGCTGTGGCAGCTCCAGGAAGGCGCAAAGTTATGCAGTGTTCTGGGCCCTGGCTACTATTTGTTGGACACTTCTTGATCCCAGACAGCACCCTCAGGGGGAGGAGGAGGAAAGCAGACCAGTAGGCCACTCAGACTGCAGATGAACCACAAGAACAATCCATGCAGGTAGCAACTGCCCCTGTACAGAAGAAGTCCAGGACCAGAACAGTTCGCTTAGTGAGGGATGAAGAGGAATTAGGGACCTCACAACATGTCTGGGTTTCAGACAGATACTGGGGGAGAGAATCCAGCAAATAAGGTCTCTCCTTTTTATTTAAAACCTCTCCCCTTTGCACCAATAAAGAGAGAAAAAATGTGAGGAGATATAAGTGGTAAAAACCACAGTTTACTGAAAATATATAACAACTGTAAAAATACAAACAAAACAGTTTAAGCCAATAAGGGACAGAGATCATCTTTAGTTTCTTCCCCATTGGTGTACTGACAACATGGTGGCAACACACGCTCTCCCCCCTCTCCTCCTGGGAGAACAAAATAAAAGTACTGTGGCAGACAAGTTTCTGCAGTTTAACACCCTTCCCAGCCAGACAAAAACCGCGGCGAGGGGGGGGCAAAGAAAAACCTAGGAAAAGCCACTTGTCCACACAAAGTTATAGTATTAAACTGCTCTTGGGCCTTGGAAAGCAAGTCCTGTGGTGACATGACACCTCAGAAAGAACTGAGTCGGACAATGGGACTAATTTCAAAAAACAGCCTCATAGACACCTGGGCCAGAGAGCAATGGGACTGAGTGGGTATAACATATCACCTACCATGCACCAGCCTATGGGAAAATTTAATGGTACAATGGACTGTTAAAAACACCGCTGAAAGCAAAGGGTTGTGAAACCTTCAAACATTAGAATCTACATTTAGCAAAGGCCACCTGATTTGGTAACACTGGAGGCTCTACCAGTCAAGCTGGCCTTGTAGAATCAAAACCTCCATGTACTGTGGAAGGGGATAAAGTCCCCATGATGACTGTGAGGAATATGTCAGGGAAGGCAGTTTGGATTAGTCCTGCCTCAAGACAAGGAAACCCATCTGTGGCATTGTTTTTGCTCAAGGATCAGGGTACGCTTGGTAGGCAATGCAGAGGGGCTGGGAAACATGATGTTTTCCTCAAGGGAATTTGGTTTTTGCTGGGTAAGAACAGTCTGTAATGTTCAATTCTATAATACTGGTTGCTGCATGATGCTGCCACTGTATGCCATAACTACCAGTGAGGATGGACTGCTCCAGGCTCCACAGTTGTGAGCTCCTGATGCAGCTTGTAACCAGTCAACAGCACACCAGCCCTCCCACCCTGGAAGACATCTGGGATGGATAGAACCCCTGCTCATGGACTAAATGAATGCATCAAACATCTTGGAGCGACAGCCTTTGACTGTGGAAGTGAGACCTGTGCTTTTGTATATCTATATATGTGTGTGTGTGTGTATACTTAAACACACACGCACACACATATATATGTGTATATAGTTGGAAGGTGTAGGATCTTGGCGTGATGTTGATGGTATAGAAAAAGGGGTGAATAATGTCCTAGTTCCATCCTGGACAGGGTTAATTTTTGCAGTAGCCAGTAAGGGGCGTGGTTGGGCACCTCACATCATTGCTTGGGGCAGGGGAAAGGGACTTTCTTCCAGGGTCAGAGGGTTCCTTACGATTGAGAAAACATGGTGGAGGGTATTGTCTGTTATTGAGGGAGTTTCCTTGTGAATAATTTTTTCTTGTACCCTCTGTCCTTAATATTGTTGGTGCTACTGTTTATTTTTTCTTATCTCCTTGTTGTTCCCAATAAACTATTCTTATCTCAGCCCATAATCTTTGCCTTTAGTACCTCCAATTCGGGTCTCCATTGCACTGCAGCGGGGAGGATGAGGGGGGAAAAGTGGGGAAGTGAAGTGGCACATGGTTTTGAAGAGTCTTGGAGGGGGTATTGAATGGGAGAATACCATTCCTAAACCACAGCACACCCCAACCTAAATATTAGTTTAATAATGGTGGTGAAATCCCTATAAATACAGCTATGCTAGAGCCTTTGATTATTGTAGCCATCATTTAATGATATAATTTCCCTCACTGCTTTTTTGTATGGAGTTTGCAAAGGCCCATCAGGGAACAAATTCTATGAACATTCCTGAAATGAGAAGGAGTGTTACAACAGAGAAGATCTGTTATCATCAGTCCACATGGTATCCATATGAAGTTCAGTCTTTGGTAGTTCAAGAGCCACTATAAATAGCATGTACCCTACACAGGGAGGGTGTGCTTTGAACAGCTAAAAGTGGTGGCTGGTTGACCACCCCAAATTGCCAGATTGTATATGTTTTCAGAGCAAAATTTCAGCAGGTATGCAGATATCATTAACGATAATCAGAGTTGTAGCATTATTGAGAAGAAGCAAATGTGAAATTGTAAGACTAAATGGGTAAGCAAGGCAAAAAGCAAACGAACATGCTGAGTTATTGTCACTACAGTTCTGTGATTTTTAATATAGATCTCTCTAGTTTGGTTTACTTTTTTTAAACTTAGCTTTGCCTTCCCTAAATTTTCCAAAGAATCACAGTTATATATCTTGGCAAAATATCCACCAGTTTTAATTAAAAGAGCAAGGTGATTTATGTGCATTGGGAGTTAAACAAGAATGAGAATCTCTTTGCATGACTCTCTGGAAAAACTGTGACATGTAGCAAATGTGTACAAGCTCATTTAGGTAAGACAAGAATTAGATTAGTTAAACTGCAGCTGTGTGCAAGTGACAAACCGAAAGAGGTAAACTTCTCTGTGTTAGCACTATTAGCAATTGGTATAAACTGAATGTTCACTCTTTGAATGTTTTATTTTCACTTCTGCTACATTCAAGGCTAATGAAAAATTTCCAGCATCAATAAGATAGGTCTTCTAAAAGACTAATGAAATTTCCATTGAAAGAACTTCGAAACTGGATCTCAGTTTCTTAACCGGACTTGAGCACAGTATTTTTTGCACTGCTCTTTCTTCTTTCCTTCCCTCTCCAGCCAGCAGTCTCTTTGAATATGGGTGGTAGCAATACTTCCTGATGTTGTTGAAAACCATCAAAATAGTCTAATTTCTCGTTTTCTAATATATATTGTCATCTGCTATAGGGAGATAAAAGTATTGTTTCTTAATACTTCTAATTATTTTTGAGCATTTATTTAATTATTACTTGTCTCCAAACACCTGTTTCACAGATGTCTGTGTAGATAGAGTTACTGGAGCTCTGCAGCTTTACTGTTTCATCTCTTCTACTTGGGGTTCAGTGCCTTCCTCATGGACAGTCTGCTCAGCTTATCCTTTTTTAAAAGAGGGCATTTTTCATTTACACAGATACCTAAAGTGTGCAATTATAGTAGTATTTATTGATATCCTGACTTAAACCAACTTCTTAGGCAAATCAGAATCCTTTTTTTTCTTTTTTTTTATCTCCAAGATTACAAGTTTGGTTGATAAATTATGTGCATTTCCCTGCCTTTATCTGAATATGACCACAGAGATGAATATTTTCCAAAGTTAATTTCAGAGGTGTTTTCCTGAAAAAGCGTAATTTCATGTCCTGGTAAATACGATGATAAATTTGTGCATTTGTAAGGATCTTTATATATTATAGTTTGATGATTGTAATTACTTTATGTACATTTTACAGAATAAAAAGGCGCTATTTAACAGATTTTAAATTGTATTCATTTGGGAATAATCACTGAGCATGAAAAGTAAGACCTCACAATGAAGGCTGTACTTACTGGAAAATAAATTGGAGATGGATATCTTTGAGTTACTGAGCACTCTTGACCACATGGGAGCATGGTACAGTGCTAAAGCAAAAAGGCTCTGTGTGGTCTTCAAATGTATGAACAAATAGGCTATCTGTCATAGAATAGTTTAGGCTGGAAAAAATCTTTAATTACATCAAGTCCAACCCTGAACCCAGCACTATCAAGCCCACCACAAAACCATGTTGTAAGTGCAACATCTACAAATCTTTTAAATCCCTCCAGGAATGGTGACTCTACCACTACCCTGGGCCTCTTGTGCCAGGGCTTGACAACCCTTTCTGTGAGGAAATTTCTCCTAATATCCAACCTAAACCTCCCCTGGTGCAACTTGAGGTCATTTTTTCTTGTCCTGTCTCCTGGGAGAAGAGATTGACCCCTACCTGACTACAGCTTCCTTCCAGGTAGTTGTAGAAAGTGATAAGCCTCCTTTTCTTCAGCCTAAACACCCACAGCTCCCTCAGCTGCTCCTCATATGGTTATTGAAGCTACAATGATATTTAAATGTTTTATGCTAAATTTTGCTCCTAAATAAAAATAAAACAATTCAGCAGCAAAACTTCTGAGCCCAGACTCGGTAGTGATTTATTTGCCAAATAAATTTGGCTTAATGCAACTTTTTTGTATTGACATCTTTGTATGGTACTAAAATTCCTGACTGGGTATCCCAGTGTGCTTTACCTTCTATTTTACTGCTTTCAATTCTTGTGCTGCTGACCACTATTATTCACCTGACTGGGAAACACCAATGCAGCAGTGTCATCTGGTACATGTGCAAAAGGATTGAGGATGAAGGTATACCTTTGTCCTTGTGAAGCATGTCAGTGTGGGAAACATCTGCATAGAGAGAAAAAGGGCAGGTCCTGTCTGACCAACCTGATCTCCTTTTATGATCAGGTGAACCACCTAGTGAATGAGGGGAAGGCTGTGGATGTGTCTGTCTGGACTTCAGCAAAGCCTTTGACACTGTCTCCCATAATATACTCCTGGAAAAGCTGCAGCCCACGGCTTGGACAGGGGCACTCTGTGCTGGGTTAAGAACTGGCTGGAGGGCCGGGCCCAGAGAGTGCTGGTGAACGGGGCTGCCTCCAGCTGGTGGCCGGTCACCAGTGGTGTCCCCCAGGGATCAGTGCTGGGCCCAGTCCTGTTTCACATCTTTATCGATGATTTAGATGAGGGGATTGAGCCCATCATTAGCAAATTTGCAGATGACACCAAGCTGGGGGGGAGTGCCAACCTGCAACGTGGATAGACTGGAGAGTTGGTCTAATTCCAATGGGATGAGGTTCAATAAGGTCAAGTACTGGGTCCTGCACTTTGGCCACAACAACCCCTGCAGTGCTCCAGGCACAGAGTGGCTGGAGAGCAGCCAGTTGGAAAGGGATCTGGGAGTTTGGATTGACAGGAAGGTGAACATGAGCCAGCAGAGTGCCCAGGTGGCCAAGAAGGCCAATGGCATCCTGGCCTGGATCAGGAACAGTGTGACCAGCAGGAGCAGGGAAGTGATCCTTCCATTGTACTCAGCACTGGTGAGGCCACACCTGGAGTGCTGTGTCCAATTCTGGGCCCCTCAGTTCAGGAAGGATATTGAGGTGCTGGAGCAGGCCCAGAGAAGAGGAACGAGGCTGGTGAAGGGACTGGCGCACAAGTCCTATGAGGAGAGGCTGAGGGAGCTGGGGTTGTTTAGCCTGGAGAAGAGGAGGCTCAGGGGAGACCTCACTACTCTCTACAGCTCCCTGAAAGAAGGTTGTAGCCAGGTGGGGGTTGGTCTCTTTTCCCAGGCAACTATCAGTAAGACAAGAGGGCATGGTCTCAAGCTCTGCCAGGGGAGGTTTAGGTTGGATATTCGGAAGAAATTCTTTACAGAGAGGGTAATCATACATTGAAATGGGCTGCCCAGGGAGGTGGTGCATTCTCCGACCCTAGAGATTTTTAAGAAGAGACTGGATGTGGCACTGAGTGCCATGGTCTAATAACTGTTGTGGTAGCGGATCAAGGGTTGGACTTGATCTCAGAGGTCCTTTCCAACCCGTCTGATTCTATGATTCTATGAAAAGGGGAGGGGGCCTGGCAGCCTGATTTTTTTGTTCTTTTAACTAAGCCAGGAAGTGGGAAATGTCCTACATGCTATGAGGGATTTTTAAAAAGCAAACGGATTAATCATTTATTAATAATCTCGCTTTATTGCAATCGTGATTTAAAAGGGAAGTTGTGCTATACTGAAAGAGAACAGGTACTCTCTAATAAATTGGATGAAACACATAATTTTATGTTAAATGACTGAGATATACTTAAGACTTTTTAAGGGTTTGGGTTTGCAAACATATATAAAACTGAGTAATTATAAAACTCTTGTATAAAATCAAGTATAAAATGGTGATAACTGGGAAATAACAGGAAAATTTTCAGTATTTGATCTTTAAACTAAGAGAACATTATAGAGAAGAGAACTGTGTCACCATATAATTAAAGACTGATGATGCACACAGACAATATTTAAATTGGGACTACATGTGGAATATTAATTCACATATTTGCTAACTTTTGACTGTTTCATCTTGCAATGTTAATAATGTTCATTTAGAGTATGTTATCTACTTTTCTTTACAATATCTTGGAAAGAGGCACTTGAAATTAGTTTAAATGGGTAAGTAGGACTTATAAATGATCAATGTGCTTTTTTCCTTTTCTAAATAACATACATGATAAAAATTGTGGGAATATCTTGGCTATATAAACAAAATCACTATCTTTATCGGACCAAAATAATGCTTTTCCTGCTTTTATTTCAGTCACTCGTGTATTATGTTAGGAGTTTGAGTATACATGAATATTCTGAAGCGTTTGCTTTACCAGATCCACCAGAATTTTTTTTGGTGGTTCTCTGAGTCCCAATTATTTTAAATTCTTAATTCTTGACTAAAGAAAATGTCAGTATTGCCAACTTAAATGTATATTTTGCGTTCTTTACAAAGTATACTTGGAGCTTTTCTTTCATTGCATCCTCCAACAGGAAATACTGACATTTATTAGTTTATCTCATATACAACAAAGGTTTTTTGGTGTTGCTTTCTTACTAGAGAAAAATTAAAAATACACAAGACAGAAATAAATCCCCTGGCCAGTCATTAATAAACACAGGACATTTGTAATGAAGTTCTGGTTCCAAGATCAACTCAGTCTGCACATCTTCCATGGATTGCTATAAGATCATATATTGTAACTGCAGAAAGGCTAAATGTAAATTTTAATGTGCCGCAAGCCAGATGCATCAATGGAATTCTTTCCTATAGGCAAGGAACATCAATTTCAGAAGCAGCTATTAATCTACACCCTTTCTTTTAGGGTTCTTTTTCAAAAATATTATAAAAGAGCTTTTACAGAAGAATGGGAATTGGAAGTGTTTTACTCGCATGGCTCGCTTATTTGCCGCACATGTTTCACATTCATGAATAACCTGTGTGACATCCTCCATGCTATGGTCCACCCCTCATTCACGAGCTTATCTGTAGGTTGCATCTCTTCCTAGATGTTCTGATGTTTCATGGGCCCCTTGGGCTATAAATAGCTCACCCTTCCTCTCCCAGTCCAAATCTACCTGGGCTATTCCAATCTTGGCAGCCTTATCCACCTGCTCATTGTTCTGATTTTCTTCAGCGGCAAGGCCTTTGGGCATGTGTTGAGCATTGATGTGATGCACTTTCAGAGTCATGTTTTCCACCCGTGCAGTAATGTCCTGCCACAATGTAGCAGCCCAGATGGGTTTGCCCTGCGTTGCCAATTGGCCTTCTTCCATTGCCACCCCCTTAGGGCATTAGCCACCATCCAGGAGTCAGCACAGACATATAGCACAGGCCACTTTTCTCGTTCAGCAATCTGTAGGGCTAGTTCGATGGCTTTCACTTCTGCAAACTGGCTTGACTCGCCCTCTCCTTCAGCAGCTTTTGACAACCCATCGTGTGGGATATATATATTTATATATAAAACTGCCTTTATCTCACCTCACGTTGGGTGCCAAAAAGGACTGTTGTGGGTTGACCTGGGCTGGACACCACTTGTTCACCCAGTGGCTCTATCTCTCCCCTTCCCAGCTGGACAGGGGAGAGAGTAAGAGGAAAACAATTCATGGGTTGGGACAAGGCAGTTTATTAAAGCAGCAGCAAAGCAAAAGCTTGTGCGAGCAAAAGTGAAGTGAAAGATAACAAGGTTTATTCTCTACTTCCCATCAGCAGTGATGTCTGGCCACTCCCGAGAAGCAGTGCTTCAGCATGGGTAATGGTTCCTTAGCAGGTAGTCATTGGAGACAAGGAATGCCCACCTTCCTGCTCCTTGCCTCAGCTGACATCCTATGGTACAGAATATCCCTTTGGTCAGTTTGGGTCAGCTGGCCTACTTGGGTCTCCTCCCAAGATCTTGCCCTCAACTGAGGAAGGAATTGTTACAGTGTTGGTGCTGTACTCAGTACTGAAAGGAAGCTGTAGTCAGCTAGGGGTCAATCTCTTCTCCCAGGAGACAGGACAAGAAGAAATGACCTCAAGTTGCACCAGGGGAGGTTTAGGTTGGATATTAGGAAAAAACACTGAAGTGAACTCCAGCTCAGCCAGACTCAGTACACCTTGGAAGGGAAAGGGATAGACTTCCCTTTGTCTTTCCTCCCAGATCCTAGTGTGGAATTACTTTGGATCTGTACAAAGAGGCAAGGCAGAAAGAGTAGCTGTTGCTGTATAAATGAGCAATAAGGGTTTTCCAAAACATGCAATTCTTCTGCATTCCCAACACCATAAGCACAATTAGGTAACTCAGCTCCCTTTCAAGCCTCAATATCTTTAAAGAACAGCATGGGAATTTCTTTTTTTCTTAATTAGTTAAAGGGATCATATGATCGAATATGTAGCACACCATCCTAAATTAGGCTAGAAGATTAATTTAGAGGATTTATCATGTGTAGTTTGCATGTATTCACAGAATGGAGACCAAAAGTTTCATATTAAATGGGGGGTAATTTTTAAGGAGATCCATACTTAGTGTCAGAATCTGATGTCCAGTGCCTACTTAAACTGCCTTGTCTAATCCTCTGTAAATTCACCTGCCAACATAACTAGATTTGTGCCATTGCTTCCACCAGCATCTTCAGTTGAGGGAATCCAAGGAGTGTTACCAGATCGTTTTATACACTACCATTGTAATAGATTTATCAAATCCCTTTAAGGCAACATGAGTTAGAGCAGAGCCAAGGATATCTTTAAGTTTTGCTGAGTGTGGATTTGGCCCTTCAAACTATCATTGTCCTGGGAAGCAGCAACATGACTTGATTGTTTTAAATCTCTACTAAGTGGTACCACTGGAGTTTTGTAAATCACCTGGGTGTCTGGGCCAGTGTCCTTAAGGCGGTCACTGCACAAATAAATGTGACCACAAGCGACACAGTGCTGATGAGTGAGAAGAGTTTCCATACCCCTTTGTGTGACCATTTCTATCAAACAAAGACGGGAAACGATAGTACATTGATTCTGTAAATATAGATATAATGCCTTCTGTTTTGAATTTTACAAGACAATTAATTTACATAACAAAATTTTAATTTTTATAAGACAAGGATAAATAAGACAAAAATTGATGAGCAAAATTTGCTATTCCACGTGTTTTTATTTCATGACAGATATTTATAATATTAGCTTTATTAAAGGATATTAAAATATGTAGGCACAAGCCTTTCTCAAGTATTGAAACAATCAGCTATGAGGTTTAAATTTAGGGTCACTACTTCTGAGAACCAAAGTGATCTATGGCACAAGACAGGTAGCAAACACTTTCAAGACAGAAAAGTTTAGCTTATTGCAAACGATATAGCACCCTCCTAAGAATATCACAGACATCTAGATCTGTGAGGCAAGTACTGGAAATATTTTGCCAGAAAACTGCGCAGAAGCATTGTTTCTGAATTCCAGGATCTGTTAAAGGAAAATAGTAACAATGTGGGAGATTGCAACATGTAGATCTTGTGTAGGGTTATTAAATTTGTACTTCTTCAGTTGCCAGAAAAAAAGCTAGGCCAATACCAAGGGTTAACAATCAAGATTCAGCCAATGTGTCTTGTTTAGAAGTTAACTGCTAGAAAGATTTAAGAGCTGATATGCTTCTACCATAGTTTCCAGAGTTGCTAACAAGACTTTCATCTGTTCTCCAGGGAATAAAAACATGTTTGCAGATATTTCTTGAAGAAATTGTGGTAGCTTTTGAAAAGTTTCTAGCTCTTTAAAATATGTATTTACTAACCAATCTTCAGAAAATGTGTTTTTCATCTTGGAGTTATCATAGGCCATTACTGGAAGTACATTTGAACAAGCTACCTCTCTGAGAGTTAGAGTCAAGGGTGAAGAGAGATTATAAACTGAGCAAAAATTCAGCAGCAGCTTATTAAATAAAATCAAACACAGTTCTCTCTGCTGACTGCAAAACTCTTGTTCCATCCATTCATAAAAGCTTTCAATGCTCTCTTCTGGGTGAACAAGATTCAAAAGTTCTTCCTTTAATGCTACTGACTCAACACAATCCAGTGGCAGTTTTCCATTGGAGTTTCTCTGCTGTAGAAGGATTGGTCCTGCAGGGAAAATATAAACATTAATAACAACAGCACATTTGATTTGGCAGCCAAACAAGATTTTGGATTGGTTTTTGCCAGGAGCTAGGAGTCTGTTTAACTTCCTTTTCATACTAAGTTATGTTGATGTAACTGATGAGTTACATATTTGCAACACAATCTAGAACATGGAGAGAGACCCTTTGTAACACTTTTTAAAAGATATTTTCTTAACTTTTATAGAGTATGTAAAAATGTCATGGTTTTACTGTTGCAAAATTCTATTAAGTACTTTACAGAACAGGTTAGTTGATGACATTGACTTAAAATTAAAGACAAGTTACTGTGATGATCTTTATTTTCTTTTTCAGGATGGTGTGGCCAATCTTGACTTAGGCTATGCAGCAAGATAAACTACTGAGGTGGGAATCCAAGTCTTCCCCAACAACTGAGTTTAAAAATTTGGTCTCAACAGACTTCTGAAATGCAAAATATAATTGTTCTAATAAATAGAATTAAAATGATTAAAGGGGACATGTTTACTTTTCAGACTACACTGCATTATTTCAGTATTTCCTGTTCATTAGTAAAGTGGACCTATCAATATTTCAACAGCTTACACATCTCTTGATAAATTTAAGAAATGATGTCTCAGTGAGAAAAATGGAAGGCTGTTAAGACACTACAGGTGTTTTTCAAAGATGAACACATCAGGGATCTTAAATAAAACTTACTTAAATAAATTTGAGTTACTACAGTAAAGCAATGCTGTCACTTTAATACTTCAGAAATACATTTTATTGAGAAAAGGTAAAGCCTTGTGTTACATATCCATAGTAGACATTTTAACTTTGCCCTGATTTAAGCTCTAGCATTATTACTGATTATTTAGTATCATTAAATCTTCTGCAAGCTGAAAATTTGCAGAGAGAGAAAAAGGAGTATGTTTTTAAAGAGATGTGTTCTAAATTATTAAGATGAGTAAATTCACACTGAATGGGTAAGATTCTTTCTACCATAGTCTTGTCAGTTACTTGCCAGGCCATAACTCAGAGAGTGACAAAGGCAAATATAATATGTATTTGCAGCCTTATAGTTGCCAGAAAACCCTGCAAGGGCAAGTAGACCTCTTCCTCTAAGACAACAAGATCATCCACTACCAATTTTTCACAATAGCCTAGGAATAATGTACATCTGCCAGTGCAATGCCATTTCCAGTTGAGGAGTTGGGCTTGCTATAATACTGGTTGTTGGATCACTTAGACTGACTGAACTGAACCCAGGTATTGGCTTGGCATGTCAGATATATGGTTCAGTAAACATATAAAATTCCTAGGAACCACAGAACTAAGGCTCCTCCAACACAGAGGAAGAACTGCAGAGAAATGTACTGATTATGATCCGGTACTTGCACAACAGACACAGACATAGCCTTTAGGGGGCAGGAGAAGACTGTAAATACAAGGGGTCGTATGCCAAGAATGAAATAAAATTTCGTTTCTCTACCTTAATTAAGTAATAGGCCATCTCAACACAGTGCAGTCTTCTGCCTCATGACCATACACAAAATGATTTTTATTGAAAAAATTGACAAGGCATATAAACCACAGTTTTCGCTGACATAGTAGGTCAATGGTACAGATATTGAAAAATACTCATTTTAGTAAATTAATTAAAAGAAGGAAGAGTTGATACCCAAGACCATTCTGTGCAGTTGTTTGGTTTTGGTTGTTTTATTTGGTTGGCATTTTTTTAAAATATGGTAAGTTAAATATATTGATACAATACACACTTCACACTAAGATACAAATACCCTGTCCCTGAACAAAAAATATTGTTTAAAACATTTGTCATGTGCCTGTCTAAGGGGAAGTGTATCTTTTTTTTTTAGAAACTAAGGTATCCCTCCCACTATTATTCCTAAACAGCAGTTATCATGATTACAATATAGATTCCTTTCTTAAACGAATTGCCAAGCTAATTGTGTTCTTCAAAGACCATCACATTAATTTTCATAAATCCTGAACAAATTTATGTTGAAATACATGATTATATTTGCATTTTGGTAAAAATCAATCAAAACAAAAGAAAATCCTTAGCCTTGCTTGCTGACTACGTAATCTGCACCTTCATTAATAAGTAGGGAGAACATAGTTACAATGCATATGGTGTAAAATGTAGAATAAAAACATCAACATACTGGAAAAAATGTGAAAATCCTGGTTAATTTCATATTCAGCTGATCAAGATAACTGTGAAAACAGTATTATTTTCATTGTAACCAAACCAGCTTGGCTTAAAAATATTTTAAAATAAATCTTTCATAATAACATTGTATTTTAAACAACTATTAAGAAAAACACTGTGAACTTCACATGGATTTAGAACAGTAGATAATTTCCCTAAACCAGTTTAGCATAAATGCACTCACCCCCATGCTGAAGTAGGAGCTTGCCAATTTCTACATGTCCATTTGACAGTGCATCATGCAAAGGAGTCACCCCATCCACTTGACTGAGCAGGTCTACCTCTGGACAACGCTGCAAAATTTCACGGACACACACTGTGCTGCCATGGTTACAGGCTTCATGCAAAGGCGTCCAGCCAGCATAGTCTGCATTATAAATCAAGGGAAGTTTTAAAACAGCAGAAGTAGTACTGAAATGTTAATAATGTAATTCGTTAGCAAAATACTTTAATTTTTAGTGTTCGTTATGGCTAGACTGGCAGTTTACAATTTCAAAACAAGAAATTCTACTGAAAAAAAATCTGAAAAAAATTAAATAGCATTTTTAAAAATCAGCAGAAAATATGATGGTAAAACTCAATTCAGTAATAAATTCATCTTTCCTCAATGCTTGCTATAAAGTCCTCATTTTGTGTTGTTTAAAATAATAAAGACAGTTTTAGTAGTATAAATACAAACTTTATTACCAAACAGATATTAATAGAGTTCTTTATCTGGCTTAATTTCTTAGTTCTCTAGAGAAAACGAATAACTTACCTTTAACATTAATGTCTGTTCCAGGGAAAGAGAGAAGCTGAATCAATCTCTCCACGTTGTTACTTATGCAAGCTTTATGCAGGGCTGTCTCTCCTACCATGAAAAATTAATAGATTACACTAGACTAGGCAAGATAGCAACTAAAGAAAATAATCAAAGTGCCTGGAACTAGGAGAGCTGGCTGTGTACCAGGAAACTCAATAATAACTAAGATTTTCCTTTATCCTTTTTAACCATCTTTTAAGAAAAAAAAACCCACAGAGCTTCTGTTCGACCAGAGATCCAGCAATGAAATTGTATTGCAAACGGTTTAACACAAAGAATTATCTCCCCTCCAGTTCAAGGTTTAAAGCTTCAATCACACTATAAAAGCACCAAGTGATCACAGAACACCAAAAAATACCAGGTTTTGAAGCAATAAAACTTTAGAGTGCAGTTGCCCTCCCTTAAATTTATTCATGAACCTACATTAAAATGTATGGTTCTTTTTACACAGCATTTATAGCTTAATTCAAAATGAATGTTTCTGGCTAAGCACGAGTGCCTCTACACACTCAAGTATAATTCAGAACTTCAAATCCGTTAACAGATGGTTTGCTGTTTCTCAATAGGCTGTCTGACTTGGCTACAGTAGCGAGGGAGGGGAAAAAGAGAGAAATAATAATAATAATAAAATAAGAAAATCCTCTGGAAAAAAATCCCTACCACTAGTACCGACATAAACTGAAATAAGTGTGAAAAATTAAACAACAAGCAACTGAGAGCTGATGCTTATACATAGAGACACCATTAGTTTCTGCATAATAAAAACTTCAGACCCATTCTAAATGCTCTTTTGCTTTCAATAATTGATTAGGTTTGAATAAGAGCCAGAAGAAAATCCTGATGCCAGGTGAAAGACGATGCACCAAACATCTGAGAAATTCAAAATATCTCAGGCTAAATCTCTCAGCCTTTGTGATAAGATTTAGATGGAACATTTTGTTATATTAATACCTTCACTATGTAAATCTGTCAGCTCCATACTCACTCTTTCAACAGAAGACACTACTTACAATTTTGGCAGAGGAAGAACAGAAAAAAACCCAGGGTTTGTTCCCCACCCCCCCCCACTCCTTCAGCTCACTTCTCTTTGTAGAAGTCAGCACATAATAATTCACACCAATTTCACTTGCAAAAGCAATAAAGAGAAAGGGAACCAATTTTAAAAATGTATGGTCTGGCTCTGTTACTGAAGCTCTCTTAAATAACAAAAGCAGGTGAGGTTTTCTTTTATCCTTTAGTGTTTTGCTACAATTCTGTTCTTATTTTTTGAACAATCCCAGCTTGCTTTTATCAGGTTTTTTTTCTGAGCCTTCTCTTGGGTATCATATTAATATAGTCATAGGTAAATTTCTTATGATGAAGATGACAAAAAGTAGTTCCAGAAAGTAATTCTGCTCAAGCAAAGGCTCATGCGAAGTACAATTTATTAAACTTGTGTAATAAGTAGGAAACAAATTAATTACTGCAATGCTGTTTTATTCCTTAGGTACTTGAGTTCCAGTATAGCTAAGACAAAAGCCAAATGCCTTTCATAGTCTGGGCTGAATGCCTGGAAGAAAATGGTCCATATGCTTAACACAGCTATGTAACATAGCATACTCCTCAGTCTTTGTTCACAAAATGTCTAGGACTCAGAGATGAAGACTGAATTATACTTTCAAATCAGAAGACGTTGATCCTACCAAGCACAGGTTGAGGTGGATTAGCAAAGTAAGGCAGGCAAGACTGGAATATGCTCACACAAGCTGTACATTGTATTTAATATCTGGGAGGAGGAGGGTAATGAAGAAGGCAACTTTATTGCACCATATATATATATCCACCTTTTAAAAAGACATTGCAAAAAAGAAACACGAACTATAAGAAAATAATGATTGGGTATAAGCCATCATTTTAGTTCAGCATTCATCAGGATAAGTTTTTAAACTGTCAATTCTAACCATTTTAAAGTTCTTAACATAAATTAGATATATAGAATACCTTTAATATTTCTCTTGTATACCTCTTCAGCCAAAAGATAACAATTCTCCTTGGTGTGTGCAGTCTGAACTTCTGGTTTTGCTGTAAGCTTATTAAAGGTTAGGTCTCTGAAAAGAGAGTAAAGGGGACAGGTTTAAAATCCCTATTTCGTGTTTTAAGATAATGTATATATACTTAGTGCTTTTAAATTTGTCTATATAGCATACTTAGATCTATCCATTTGAATTTCTAAAATGTCTTAATTACATAATTTCTATGTCCTTTAATTATAACTATTTAAAACAGTAATAAAATTCCATTGTCCATAATTAAACTTTCTTTAAAGGTAATTCTATGAACAGTTCAACTTCTCCATGTACCCTATAAATTTAATATTGGGCAAATATAGCTACATCAGTCTGCATATACACTGAAACTGATGATCAAAGAGAAAGGGGGAAACCCCAGCCCAGAGGTGTTACAGGTTTACAATGGAGCTTTCTGTCAGTTGCAGTAATTTGTAGACAACAAAACAGGTCATATAAAGTTCAAGAAATGTGTCAGGTCAGAAGCTGTCCCCCAAAGCAGAATAAAACTGGTGATGTTATAGGTATTACTTACGGTAGATCAGGCAGCACTTTGACTTGGTTCTGCTTATCGCCATTTAGCATCTGTAATGCCCTTTGAGACTCAGGGCATGGCTGTTGCCCTATTTTCTTTTTCTTTGCTTTGTGTATCTTTGTCTCATGCAATGCTATCTCTCTCAAAGCAGGCAAATAGGAACAGACCTGTTGCAGAAGTAGTATTTTTAAAATGAAGTAATTTTCTTTTGTTGTTCTTGCTGCAAAGCAGCCATCTATGACCCACAGCTTGCTGCATCTAAGTTTTAAAAAATCTGACCACTAAATGATTGTACATAGTTTAAAACTGTCCTTTGCAATCCTTTTTGATATTCTTGTAATTCACTCTTTACACTGGCCTCAGAGGTGAGTGGCTTGTGTCTGAGATAGAAATTAGGAAATTCTAGATATGTCTCTTGGTTTCTGGTAGCTGAGAAAATTTGTATCAGATCACTTTAGCTGGACATAAGACTGGAGTACAATTAATTGATTTTCATGTATTTAATGAAAGAATTTATAAACTTCCTGCTCCCAACCCAGGGAGCAATTTGATAAAGAAATACTCACTCCCCTCCTTCATGTCTTCTAAGATGAAGGGTTGGATGAAGTCTTTGAGCAATTAAAGAAAATAAGCTAGTGATCTCTTAGTGCTCTTTATTATTTAGATAGTGTTGGCTGTTCTAGATATGTTTGCTTCTTTCCAGTAACACAGAGCTTCAAACTTACTTTTATAGCTCATTTAAAAAATTCATCCAAGTTTCTGCAGTTTGACAAAAACATAGGAAAAAGTCCACAGAGGGGATTCACTCAATGAAAACACAATGACTATATTTGAAGAAAGGCATTACGGAAGGCTTTTAGTATTTAGTATTTAGATTACTTGAGACCACAGCAGATTCTGCAGGCAATGTGCTGTGGGTGAGGGACACCTTAGTTGCACCTTCACTGCACATTTACCACCAGGGAGTAGGATGTCACTCATTGAACCCAAAGAAAAGCCCGGCTGATAAGATGCTGTATGAGAAGAACTCACAAAAACGGGATGACAAGTAATTTTTATTGTATGGAATAAGAAAGGAGACATAGTAATAATAAGGAAAGCCACAAAAAGCATATGAACTTGTTTCAAGCCCTATAAAAATTTACATTTCAGTAGTTGTAGAGAGTGATCAGTAGTCATGGCAATACTAAAAATAGCAATCCTGTTACATATGTGTGGGCAATATACTTAAATATTAGACATATAGTTGGCTTATTTTTAAAATTCTATGTCTTTTGTTTGAGCTCTGTTTAAACATACTGTATTAATAAACAATGACCTCTGTTCACAAAAAACCCCTGTAAAATTCAAGAAAACTTATGTATGGTTAATGTATGAAGATGTAAATTGGTTTTTCTGTGGCTCTAACTGCAGAATTTTAGAACTTAGAGAAACAGAGAAACGGTTATGGATTCCATATTCTGTTTACACATTGGTACTAAGACAACTGAAATGGCGTCCTAAGTTAGGACATGTCATTATCATGTGATCGCTCTGATTAGCCTGCAACCTGTCAGCAGTCACAGTTTTAAAGACTTCTTTTACAGCTTTCATCATGTATGTCCTTGCAAACTATCACAAATTGTGCTTTGAGGGCAGGCAAAGGTTTGTAAGTAGAAGAAAGTTTTTAAGAGGAGAAATTCACAGGAATACACTGTGGTTCAAAATCATAAAATCTTGTATGTAACAAATGACTGAACACAGCAGAATAATAGACTGTCACCTCTTCAAAAATCTAGAAGATAGCCCAGGAAAATCACACTATTTGGCATTTTCCTTAATTATAAATGTAGCATTGCAATAAACTACTTACATTAGAGATTATTTTTGAAGGCTTTTATTGTATTCACTATTGTTTCATTGTTTGACTTTCAAGTTAACTGCATGTAAACAAATTAATCAGGTGTGACAAATTCTCTGGCAATCTCACCATTGTTCTAGACCCAGATCTCAAGCAAAGAGAGATTTATATGCAATGGAACACGTGGAAGACAATGCATGCAAAAAGCATAACCTTAGACCACAAAAAAATATTTTTCAAGACTTTTATAAATCAAATTACCATAAAATACTGAAGTATGAAAAGTTATTATGGAGTAGAAGAGTTACTCACTATTTTCTGAAGAGAAAGAGGTTCTGTAGGAACAGCTATATTCCTCTGTAAACACATGTGTTTTAAAATTGCTTCCGCAACAAACATTTGAAGCCAGAGGGATGGTATGGCACAAATAAACATTTTTAATTCACATATAGAAAAATCTGGATAAAAACAATGGGTGTTAAAAAACATAAACTGAGTATTAAAGTGAGAATGCAAAAATCTATACACCTAGTTATCTAGAAGATAGCTCTTACAGACTTTTTTTTGACCTCTTACAGATTTAGAAGCTATTCTCCAGAAGAATTACTAAAAATAATCACATTAAAAAACATTTTATCCATCATCTAAGATAATGACCAACTACTAAGAGAATGTTTAACGTGTTTTAAAAGACAAAACATCAGTTTTTATCACTTTTAAAAAGTGAAACTTTTAAAAATGCTCTCAATATACTCTTATAAAAGTTATACTTTTATTTTGAGAATAAAATTATTTATTACAATGAAATGCAAGTGATCACCTTTTAAATCTCTAAGTGATACAAATTCAGATAAGAGCTGTAACACACAAACAATAAACAATTCTACATTAGCAGTGACTGTAAGCAAATTGTAACCTCTTTCAGATGTATCAAATAGCTTATACTGTTTAAAAAAACCACTCAGTGGCAGAAGAAATTATATATTTCTCAATATATATTGGGCATATGTCTGGCCTACCTCTCTTTTTTTGGAGAATGAGACAGAATGACTGATTTTTCTTACAGTGATATGAATTTGTATTTTGATTCTAGCAAAATAATTTTGTCAAAATAACAAGTGAAACAGGTGGAGATGAATATCTGCCACGAGGAAGGAAGTCTTTACTACACTGAGGAAATATTGTGTTCTGCTAAGAAATGCTCATAAATTAACTGATCTGTAGACTCAATCAAAACACAAGTTTTGAGGGTACAGATGTTTTCTACTGTGGGAGTAAACGAATTTAGAAAAACTCTGCAACAATTTTGCTTTAATGCTGCCCATTGTACCAAGTGCAAAGAATCTTTATTCTTTATAAACAGACTGTGAATGCTGTTCTTGTTTTCCATTTGTGTATAGGAAAGTAAGAAAGTCTTACAGAAACATGTAATTAAAATTATCCTTATTCTAGGACAGCTAGAAAATCTGTTAAAGAGGTAGCAATAGCAGTACAAACTAAAAGTTCCCATAATTTAAATACTACAAAGTTCCAACTGATTTGGCATTCTAAGATGCAAGGCAGGCTATAACAGTCCTGATAATCTGCTTTCTGTAAGACTGGAGTAGAAATATTTGTCCCAAGATTAAGATTTTAGTTTAATTTTTTTTCAGGATAGTTCTCAAGTGCCCAGGTAAATGATGACAGAGTGCCCAATGATGACTGTGACCACAATATCCATATTTCTTAAATGCAGGCATTAGAGGGGGCACGGGTGGGCATTAAGTTTGAAAATGAAACTAAAATATTTAAGTATTTTTCTTGATACTATTTTTTTGGTCTTTTGAGTTCTGCAACTCCTAGTTGCTAAAAGTACAGATACCTCAACTGATATTACATGGTAGATGATAGTGGTTATTTGAGTTGTGACATTTCTTTTTAACCAGTATATTTAATGAGGGGGAACAACAGTCATTCATGGGACTCAATGAAGATTTCCCCCACTTCCCAAATAAAGTCTGTTAAGTCTAAGGATTTGGAATGAGACATTGAAATGTTTCACTTGAAGTCTGTAGGAGTCAATGAGTTCAGTGTAGCTTTTGTACTTACAGTTGAAGTGTCTTTAGCAAACTATTGGTATTCTGGAGTGACAAAATTGGCCTGAACTAAGTAAAGTGTCTCCAAGTGCTTCTCTGTATTTAAGTTTTACTATGATATGCTTAAAGCTTTTCCTAAACTGACAAGAGAGCTCCAAAGATTTTTTTTCTTCCTCACACTGTGCAGTCTTGCTTTTACATTAATACTTAATGAGATTTATTTAGAGGGATTTTAATACGAAAGCCTTTTCTCTTTGGTCTTTGCTTGACACCAACAGACAGACAATAAAACACTTTCTTGCATACGCACACACCATACTACCAGAGTGCACAGCTGCAACAGGACGTAAAAAATAACTTGAAAGTAAACCAAGGATTTTATTAGGACTTAGTGTACCTGGTTAGAAGACTTTTGAGAGACCTTGCTAACACTCACCATCACACGAAATGGCAAGGTACTGTGCCAGATCATCAGCTATTTGATGAAACACGTTTCTGTCCATAAGAAAACCTGAGATGATCCAATACTCCACTACAGTTCCAAGAATTGCATTTAATAGACCAGCAATTTCACATCTGAAAGCCTAAATGGAAAAAAACAAAGAGTATATATAGACCTGTAATGTATAACAAATTCACACTGATAATGTACCAGCAATAGCGTGGTCTATGATAAAGAGGATATCTTTAGAAAAAAGCCTACTCTGTTGCCAAGTCACTCCTTCACTTGCCTTTCTTTTTCTGCTTCAAACCTAGCTGTTGCAGCCAGGTCAACAAAATTAATGTCACTGATTCCACAGCAATTAAGATTTCACACTGGAGCAAAACAAGTTATTTGAAACATCCTGTCTAAAACAATATGCAAAATGGGATCAAAGCTTACCAGTACAATTATGTGATTTCTTTCTAAGATAGGTTTTGTTTAACCGTAAGATTTCAGGTACTGGACTTATTCCAGTTAACCTTGTATGTGACAATACGAGGATCTTCTTCTCCCTGCTCTATTAGGATTCTCTTTTCCTAAAGACTTCACCATGAAATTAAAGCTCCTTTTTTGACGGTGGAAGGTGTTAGTGCCCTGCAACAGAAAAATCTTTGGCAGCCACTTTGCAGAGAGAAACTCTTCTTTCCAAAGAGACTATCAGGTGCAAATTTCAAGAAAAACACATACCTTTGGGTATTAGCCTCACCATTTCCTCTCTGTGGCACAAGATGATCACGTGTAAATAAAAAAGCCTAAATATATTTTCTTCAGGAGGCATCAAGATAATATACAGGAATTTAGCATGCTATCCAGACACGGATAGCACACTATGGACAGACAAAGCATTTGCTCACCCGTGTGAGAACTTTATCAGTACTGCTTAGGTAAAGCAGTGTTTCTAGCGTCTGAGTTAGTCTGTGCAAAGTGAAGTCATATCTGTCTACTGAATGCTTTTCTGTGCCATGTAGAAATACCTTATGCAACAACCTGAGGCTCTACCAAAAAAATCGCTAGTGTTACACTAGAGCAGCAGTTGATACATGGCATCTAGTGAAAGAGAACGAGTACTTGAAACTAGACAATTTTGATTAAGAGGGAAATTGAACTGAATATGTACACACACCTGAATCAATGGTTTGTTCTTTTTGAGAAGAAAGTATATTCTAGGTAGGTTTAAAATAATTTAATAGGACTCCCTCCTATTATAGGAGCTGAAAAGCATCAAAACCAGTTTGAACACAAGTCAAACAGACATACCTAAGAGCAACAGAGACTCTGACATAGATGAGTTTTATAAGAAAAACATTATAAAGTAATTGGTCAAAAACTTACATAGTGTCCCTATAGTTAACAGTTATTCAAAAGAGAAGGAATAAACACAAGTACAAATAAACATGGTGTGGGGTGGCAGCATAACCTCCATCACTGAAGATTTTTAAGAAGTGGCCAGACAAAATCACTTAGGAATGTGATCTCCCAGATTGCTTCCAGTCATACTTCCTCTTACTCTGCTAAGCTCGATTTGGTTTGCCCCTTGCTTTAGTGTGTCATAATACTTTATTGTAGATGTACTGTGCAATCTCACAATTAAAAATCCCTTAGAACAATGATATTGACGTTAAAACCCTGAAAATAGCTTTTTTCAACTAAAATTTAAATATTTAGAAGGGTACATTACTCTCTATCTTCTGAGGATTCATGAACAGAAAGTGAAGAACAATTTAAAACATCTGAAATGCATTTAAATTTTCCTTAAGTATCCAGACCTCTTATCATTGGACCCCAAAGCAAAATACTGGATGAATAATTTATTTCCATCAATAGTTCTTTGTAGGAAATAAATTTCACAAATGCTGCAAATAAGCACAACTTTATCAGAGGTTAAGTGACAGAATCAATGACACAGACATATAATCTGAGGTAGATACAGATGTAAAACACAAGTATTTACATTCTCTTTCTTGTTTCTAAATCACAAGCTTTTTATCACAATTAATTCCTTTATGGAATACTTTCAAGAAAATGGTGAGGGTGAAAGTAGACCTTGAGGCAGAATACTGAAATAATGTCTGTTAATACTGCAAGTATTAATAATTTTTCATACTCAGATATATAGCTGCATATAAAATGTAGTTGATATACTACTTGCAGCTATGTTTGCCCAAATAAGTGTCTCTGCATGCTAACGAGACAAACCAGATACTGCCAACTGGAGTAGGCTTGGTTGACATTTTGGTGAAAAAAACCGTAGGACAAATCAAGAGCTTCTCCTTAATATTTTAAAATAAATGGTCCTATGCCTATATCCTACAAATGAGGGGGAAATTGCTGAAATTTACTGAAAGGATCATATGCTCTAAAAATATTCAAATATTGACATGTTAAAAATATTTTCAACCACAAAACAGTACCAACAGAGCAATGAAAACACATGCAATATTAAAAAGGAAAAAAACCAGAGCATTTCCATTAAACATGGAATTTGCTACCATGTATGACAGTGACAAGGCCTTCTTCCCACTCTGTCCAGAAGCTAGGAGGGGCCACAGCTGGCACAGCTGATCCAAAAGGATCAAAGACCTTCTAAACACTGTGCTCAGGAATAAAAGCTGGTGAAAGGAGGAGGAAGGGCATGTTCGAAGTTATGGTGTTTGCCTTTCCCAGTAACTACATTGCTGTTCCATTTAATGGTTTGCCAAGTCAAGTACAGTGCTACAGTGGCAGAAGCTCCACAATTTCTTTTAGTACACACAAAAGTGCTAATAGGAAAGCTTTTAAGTTAGAGGAAAATTAATCTTAACTTTTTTGTTTTAAATTACAGAGTTATTTTAGAACTGTTCTCTTGTGTTCTTTTTCATGTGATGTAAATGCAGTACTCCAAAAATGCCATACTTCCAAAAAAGCCACTGGAAGTGATCCAACCAGAAGGACATTTACGTCTGCAAATGCACACCACACAAATTCATAATATGCGACTAAGAACCAGAATTAATGCCTTTTTCACTTCTTTGTCAGGCTGCATAAGACAGTTCTTAAAAAAAACACAAAACACCAGTATTTTCAGGGATGAAAAGCACTTCTGATACCAACTGTGACATTGTGAAAAGCCATGCAATGCTACTCCAAGCGCTATAAGCAATATACACATTCCCTTGTAAATTCTAAAACTGAATTGACAAATTTGATTCAAGGAACTTCGACCAGGAATTCCTGCATCAAGCCTGTTTAAATAATATAACAAATAATAAACATTATGTATATTAAAATTATATTCAATATTAATTTGAAAAGGTCAAGTGATGGAAAAACTTCCATGTTCTTCAGCAATACATTTTTAACTACAAAAATAGTGTTTCAGTTTCATTCCTCCAAGTTGTACCAACAGATTAACCCAGCAATCATAAGAGCATCCAATTTCCTGTCACAAATTTTATTCTGGTACTTTTATGATACTGCAAATTCTATCTAACACCAGAAAGCAAACGCATTCATATATGTCTTTGAGTCTTTATACTCCCTCATTCTTTGTTTTCTTTTTTTTTTTGATTGCTCTTTTCACATGGCGTGTTTAAACACACACGTAAATAAAACATAATTTTGCAACAAATCAGCACTAGAAGAGAGGAAACAAATATTTTCCCTGCACTCAAGTGCTTATTTGTTGCAATCTCTCTGAATCAAAAAAGAGAGAATAGAATTGTAAAAAGCTAAAAGAATTAATAATTGCCCATTTTTAGCACGTAGAAAAGATTACATTAGATATGTCCCAAGGAAGAATTTAGTTAAATTATTCATCTGTTTCTATTTACAGACATTTTCACTGAAGAACTGCACGTAAGCCTGGTATATCACAATTGGCATGTTTGTTTCTTCTCACAAGCTAATATACTGGGAAACATGGTCAGCCCTTTAAACAGTGCTACAAATCACTTAATTTTGGTGACCATGCAGATAGTAACAATACTGAAAGTCATTCCTTTAATTAGGTTTCTGAACACCTAAGTCAAGGTGTTTCCTCTTAAACGAACAGCTTTTAAAACCAAAACTGGTAACAATGACTCACACTCTCAAATTGAAGGAAAATTTTGCACTCTGTATGCTACATTTAATGACACAGAAATATTGTGGATTTATTTATACATCTTTAAAATGATAAAAAAGGAGAAAACACAATTCTGCCTGCACAGCTGGGAAGGATCTGCTCTTTTGGCTTTCCAAATGACCTTTCAAACTATGTAATGGAATTTTAAAAGGAGTCTCTGAGTATATAGAAAAATCATTTTAATAAGATTGAGAGCAAAGGAAGAGATAATGACAAGTTGGATTATAAAAATATGGTATTTTGGTTTAGTTTATCTTTGCCAAAAAACGTAGTGGGAAAGAAAGTGCAGTGCAATATACAAATAAGGCTCTTAGAAATAACATAAAAACTCTACAGATATTATGAGGTAACAAGCTTCTTTTTAAGGCTAGAGTTCATATCTGCAGGGATACTGTACATTACAGTGCATAAGATCAAAGTGAGAAAGCAACAGGCATCTGGGTTTTGTGCTGAAACCACAATTCTTACATATGTATATAAAGCAAACAACCTAAACAAGAGGTAGATCTCTGTGTTTTATGTTATGTTTTGTTCTTTTTTTTAAGCATATTTTTCATATATACAGTCTGACGCAAGTGATTACTGTGGCAATGCAAAGAAAGGTTTATGAAAAAGGTATGACTTACAGGACTGGAAGTTGTCAAAAGAAGGAATAGCAGAAAAAAGCAAATGGTGCCTACACCTAAACTGCAGATTCAACACCAGGAAAAATATGAAAGCAGTTACATTTTCCAAAGAAACAGAATAGCCACTGACACCAACTGCATGTAAGTCTGCTTGGTGCTCAGTAACTTTGAAAAGGTAGGTTGTTTAAATATAAATATGAGTATAGAAGCCTAATTTTAGGCACTTCTAAAATATCTTGACCAAGGATAAAAAGGAGCACTGTTTAAGAATGTTTTGCTTTGATAGCCCTCAAAAAAGGTAGGAGGTCTGTCTAGGTAAGATGCATGAAGCTCTCATTATGTTTCATCTTTTTGCCTTCATAACATAATGAAGAACTACTAGGTATTATATTGAAAGTGCTTTTTTTCTCCAGAATACTTGATTTTCTATTGTTCTGTTATTGTATTGAAAAAGTGAATGAAGTATCTATTTATTCTGTGCTTTCACAATAATTTAAAAGAGAATGCAGAGACAGCAGTTAAGTTTTTATTTTATGTTATAATCTAGAAGTCAAAGACATTTCAGAAGGCCTCTTGCCTCTGAAAAGAATGAGGTGGTATAGAGGACACTCAGTATCTTTCAGGTCAGTGTCCTGCTGGTCAGCAGGTCACAGAACAGCAATTAAGTTGCCTTCAATTCCATTTTTATGAAAAGTCCTAGGGAAGATACCAAATGAAACTAAAAGACTTGGGAAGAAAAAAAAAAGTGGGAAGAAAAAGGGCATTTATTAGAGTAAAATAATGTATGTCTGTAGAAAATAGCAAAAAGGTATTAGTTTTGTTAGGTTTCTCTTTCAAACATTTCCTGAATCCTACCACCGTAAAATAAGATAATCACCTCTTTCGTTACACCATATTGTTTGACAGGATGTGTTAAGCTGGTGTCCCTAATAACTACAGTAATACCTGCTGGTAAGGGCATGTGAACATCTGAATGTAGCCAACAAACTACTCATGACTCGTTTCTTCTCTACACATCTATATGAGAATCTTACGGATCAATTCATTTCCTTTAGTGGAGCAAAAACCAGCATGCTTCACAACAAAAGGCAGATATAACAAGCAGCTGTGATACTTACATATAATTCCTCACAAAAGAATGAACAAAGAATGTCTTTAAAAAAAAACTGTCAGTCTTCATTATTTTAAAGTATAAAATTCATACTCACATCATTTTTTCTGTTCAATTCTCTGTAGGAAAGTATGACCCAATCTGCTAGAATATTTATGTGTTTGGTAAAAAGCACTGAGGTTCCATTTCCCAGCCAAAATGTCTTCAAAAGAACTGTCTGTGGCATGACTTGCTGATGCTGTGAATTGATCCCTTCAACCAAACTGTAAAAAAAAAAAGGGAAAAAACCTGAAGCTTTATGCCACTTTTTTATTACAGTTACCAGACAGAAACCTTGTCTTCTGTCAAAACACATACAGGTTTGGCAATTTTTAAATATGGAAAGATCAGACACAGTTTCTGAATAATAAGTACCATAATGATGACTATTACTGTTAGACTGGGGGAATATTGTTCTAATATTTACATAAAGTAAAGGCCACCTTTACTATGTAAAGGTAGAGAAAACCTGAGACTTCTTTTATACTTCATAAACCAAGGAAAGACAATTATCTCCCTAAGATAATAGGAAGATAAGTTAATTGAATTTAAAAAAAAACCCAAAACATAAAAATCAGTATGTTCAAAATGCTGCATATCTACCTCAAAGGATGAATACTGAAGCAGTGCAAAGCTAAAAATACAACATGAGCAAAATCAAGTGCTCACTGAAACTTGTAGTATAGTGAAATAACAGGCTCGGAAAAGTAAGAGGCCTTAAAACATGATTAGAAAACGTCTATACAAATTACAATAAACAAACTTAGAACTGAGACATAAAAAGAAAACGCTAACCTGCAATCTCTGTAGAACAGTATCTTAACAAGGATATACAAAAATCAGGATACAAGCTGCTGTAGGTAAAGAAATGCATTTGAAATTGCGAAAAATAAGAAAGTATTATCCTATAAACCCACCTTTTTTTCAGAAACTCTACTTCAGCATTTACTAAATCAAAGAAAAACTTCAATAATGTTTTGTGAACTATCTTCTGTTCATCTTCTCTCCCTGAAACTGGTTCCACATGACAAACAGTTTTGCCATAAAGGCAAGACCTGAAAAATAAAACCCAAAATATGTATTTGTATGACAGCAATCATAGTCTGATCTAGCAGCAAAAAAGTCATCTTTGAGTTTTGACTGTTTTGACAAGGAAATAGTTTGCTCCCCAGCAACATTCAATATTTTAAAGCCTAATTTTCTGGTTTAAAAGCTCTTTTCAGAAAAACAAAAGAAAACAAAACAAAAAACATGTTTGTGACTGAGCCTCTATGTTCCAGATAAAGATTTTTGTAATAGTGTAAACTAAATAATTTCCACTGTATTTCATTTATCTGTCTGTACTTGAGTTATTGTACAATTACTACATTTAACAGAACTTCTTTAAAATCCTTTAAATACAAGATAATTTTGAAATATTCTATAGACGTAACATTTGCAACATCCTACAAACTTTAGTTCAGATAACAGTTCACACATACCATTTGACAGGACTACAGACTGTCAAGTATGATGAAGATAATTCTTAAGTAACATGCAAGCACATTTTTTGGCTAGAATTTTGAGTACTAGCACCACCAGGTATACAACTGCTGGGAATTGACATTCTGCAGTAAGTACTAAAAGACAACATACTTCATCAAAAAAAAAATTCTCTTCTACTACATGTGACGTGTTCCTAATAAAAACTATTAAATGTCCAATTATATTGATTCAACGCCCTTCGAGATGCTTACAATCACACATTTATATATGTATAATCACAGTTGTATCAATGTATTTAAATGTTAAGATTTTATGATAGCAATAAAAAGAGGTATAGTTTCTCTTCCAAATAAACAGAATAATTAAATTCTATTGGTGTAAATTTTAAAAAATGAGTTCTTAAGATAAAGCAGAGACTAACTACCCAAACAACTCCTATGTACTGTCTTGCATTTGTAGAGGTATAAGATATAATCAGACTTCTCAATAAGATGGTGGAGGTTATAATTAAAATCAAAATACAACATGAAACTTCATGTTTGGTAAGATAAAGCTTGAATTTTTGTTATAACTGAAGACATATATATCTGTGTGTATCTATACACATACATACCACAATAGCAATAATACATAGATTATTATAACCTGCAGAGAGCATAAAAAGTAAAATAAAACATTTTTTAAAAAGGAAGAAGGTTAAGAAAATGTACATCTTTTTCTTTCAAAAAAAAAAAAAAATCCATCTGACAGTGAGCTAACACTTTGTGAAATATATTAAGTGAAATGTCCAAATCTGTTACAATTCTAGACTTTCACGTACAGGTAACTTATTCTGTTGAAAATGTGACTTTGATGCAATAGAATGTCAATTCTCCTCTCCTGCCCCTGAGTTTGGAGTAACATAACAACTATTGCATCCAGTATCTCATTAAAATCTTTCTTACCTTACAAGCATCTCTATCAAAGACCATGTACCTTTCTTACAGATAGGACACTGAAGAAGATCCAAGTAATACTTTAACATAGACAGGGACTTCCAGGGAGGATCACGTTGGAGAATAAGGTACAAAACGTGACAAAGTTTGGCAAAAAATATTGCATCATTATTTCCCTATAATAAAATGAGAAAATAATAATGGCTCCATACCATCCAAAGATCCATATTCAATAAGAGTTTATTTTCCTTTTTCTTTACAATACCAAAAGACTGTATTTAATCACTGAAGTTACACATCATTTAATGCATAACTATAAGAAGGAAAAATCATAGTTTAAAAAAAAAAAGAAGGAAAAAAAAGAACTTACTCTAGAGTCATATTCCAGATGAATGCACAGTTTAGAACAAACCTTCTCGATGTCTCTACCTGTGGCCTACTAGCACAGTGCTGTTTCTAAATGTAACAAAAAATATTTGTGGCCAAGCCTTTCACAATACTGAGAGCACTACATTCATATGGCTTGCAAATAAATACTAATTGAAAACAGAAAAAAATCTTTAAGTATTAAATTCTTCTTTTTTTTTTTGGTAAAACAAGCACATTGATGAGCATAAAGAGAGAACACATCACTAAAAACTACTAAATAGAATGTCAGGAGCAAAGACCATAATACTTCCATTTATTGCTTTAATTTTTAAAATACTTTAGCCTTCAGCTCTCACCAATACGAAATACTCTAGAAGAGAATGAAGAAGTTGCACGGGAGGTATACGGTACTTCTGACCAGCAGCAAGTTCTGTGATTACATCAGGAAATAAATGCTCTTCCACTAATCCTTGAAGTATATACCAACTGCCTCTGGACAAATTAGTACTTTTAACCTAGAAATGAGACATCTTCGTAAATAAAATAACAGTTTAAATAAAAACACCCCTTACCTAACTAAGACAACAGGAAATTTCTAAGTAAAATGTTGGTAATACATGTTCTGGTTCTGGTCAGGACAAGGGCCATTCTTTCCTTTTTGCAGTAGCCAGGAGCGGGCACGGCTAAGATACCAAGGTTATTCTGGAAATTATTCTCATGTTACTGCCAGGGGCAGAGCAAAGGGACTCCTGCTTCTGAGAAGGTTGTTCCAGGAAAATGCAGCAGGGGGAGCCGTCCAGTAGTTTACTGTTGTAGGCTTTCAATATGAATCCTTTTTTCTTATACCTTTTATTATTAATATTGTTGCTCTTACCGTTCATTTTCTGTTTCCAGTAAATTGTTTTTATCTCAACACATGATCTTTGCCTTTTGTGTCTCCAGCTCAAGAGGAGGGAGAGGAAGTGGCACATGATTTTAGTGGGAGTACTAAATTGGAGAATATAATTCCTAAAGTAACAGGAATGATTACAAACTAAACTAGAAAAATTACTTATTGTCTGGTCCAGTCTAGATAATTTTGTTCTAGAAAGGCCCTCCCTCTTCCCAAACTATGCTTTCATTGAAAATATATTAGGTTTCAGAATGTGCTTCTCTTCTTAGATCAGATTACATCTATGCTTTTAAAAAACAAATTACAGTCTGCACACTCGGTAATTTGTAACAATTTATTCTGGAAAAGTATGAAAAGGAGTTTTAGTATTTCCAAGTGCACAGTACATCCCACAACATACAGCTGAAGCAGTAAGACAGTGAGTACTATGGAACAGCTAACAAAGTCAGAGAAAAGTGAAATACATATTTAAAATAATAAAAAATATAATTAAAATATATAAATAGAATATAATATAAAAATACAAATAAAAATAAAAATATAATTTAAAAACATGAAATACATAATTTAAGGGTACACATTATAAAACCATAAACAACATAACTGTTGTATCTCCCTAGTTCTTCTATTCCCATATAGAATGTCAGAGAAGCACCTAACACTACAGATTGTACAGGTAGTGACCACAGTGGATTTCAAAGCTCTAAAGATCTTAATGGCACAGGGCTTCTCACTTGTTCTCTGCCACTCATGACATTGCAAAACACTTAACTTTTCAGGCTTTCAAACCACACAGATCTAATGGCTTTCATGAGATGCTGTATCTGCTCTGCGATTTCCCTGTTACTGTCTGTACTTTTAGCTTTCAAAACCCACAAATAATGCTATTGAAAATCTCAACTACATTGCTATTTATACCTTTCCTCTAGTTCAGGTTCAAGCCAAAGCAGATACACAAATTAGTTGCAGAGATTGAAGCACAGCTTCCCAATACCCAGTAACTTCTCTTTTGAAATCCTGTTTTTTTGTTTGACCACAGCCTGAGGCTCTTGTAAATTCAAAGAAACTCACTTAAGGACTCAAAACTGAAGAAGCAGAGTCAGTAAAATGACTGACTGGACTGCTGGGAATTAAATAGTTACATAAATTTATTGTTGCTTTAGTCCCTGACAACTTGCAGACTTAATGATCTCTCCCAAAACTTCTGTCTTTTAATGTACATTAGATAAAGTTACTCAAGACAGAGTCATAGAACCTGGAAGGAGCTCTAACACATTGAATCCAATCATTAACCCAGGACCACCAAGTCCACCAGCAAACCATGTCCCTAAGTGCCACAGCTACACATCTAAATCCCTCCAGGGATGGTGACTCCACTACTGCCCTGGACATCCTGTTCCAGTACTTGACAATGCTTTTGGAGGAGAAATTTTCCTATTATCCAACCTAAACATCCTGCCAATTGTTTTAAAATTCGTTAAAATTTTAAATTAACATGGACTTTGAGTCCAGTTGTGGATTTGAAGTCTACTATACTGCTATTAGATAGCTTCCAAAAATGCTCCAGTAATAAGCTAAAAGCATTTGGGGCTCTGGTCAAACATAAAAAAGATTCAGAACGAAATTATAACCATTATCACAGTGAAGTCTCAGTGAATGAACTCCACCTTAGCATTAGATACTTAGTTTTTCTGTAAACGCTTCATTTATAATTCCTAATGCATGCATTATTATATGAACAATAAATAAAGATGCTCATCTATACAATTTTCTTTTAATCAAGGTTTTGTACATCTGGTGTTTGCAACTCACATTTACTTCAATTTTTTCATTCATATATGCACCATTAAAATCTGCACTAAAATTTCCTTTGGAAATAATGGTTGCATAGATACTTTTGTAATGTTAGTTATATTCAAACAGCACATCTAAAGAGCAATCATAAACTGTTTAATGAAAAACAAAGAACAACTTCTCTGCTGCCTGGATTTAAGATGTGTGAAGATGACTGTATATCGTGCAAGTACAAGCACGTTACCACTGGCCTGCATCTGGTTGATCACACCAGCATGAAACTTTTTCTATTGTGACTGAAACCTTTTTATCTTGAAAATTTTGGTACTAGAAAAAAAAGCGACATTGATGCATTATTTTGAAAACACATTCAATCAAAAATGTTTTGGAAATAGCGTGAGGTCTTTAGTATTGCATTCAAGACAATGAGGTACTGCAGAACTGGCTGTCAGCATATTTCTAAGAGGTAAAGAAGGGTGATACAAAACTGAGGCAACAATTTTTTTTCAGTATCAGGAGACAGCTATTATCAAAGAGACCGAATAGTCAATAAGCTGCACAAGGTTCTACTGGCTTGCATTCTGACTAACGAGGAATCAGCAGTACCTTGTGAAGCACTGCTGGTACAATCATTAACACTTTGAGCAGAGACAAATGAAAAATTAAGGTCCACACACAATAAGTTGTGTTTTATTTTGCATAATGTGGAAGAAAAGCTGACAAAAGAGATATAAATATTTTTGGGATGATGATAGATAACAGAAGACTTAGATAAGCCTTCCTAGCAGTTGCAAACTGAGTTGGTAGAACACGGTAGTTCTAACATGTGAATTTAGTTTGTAGGTTTGATTTTACTTCACTAGTATTATTGGAAATGTTTCTTGGAGCTGTTTATAAAAGCCATAAATATATAAAATAAATATATAAAAACTTTTTATACTGCCTATAAAAGCCCAGTATCAGATGCAAAATCTACCAATGAATATTTCACAAAATAATAAAAGAGAGTGATAGGTCATGCATAGGGAAAGTATTACAATTAGTTTTAAAATTTCCAAACAAAAAATTATATTTTTCTATAGAATACAGAAACCCAGTTTAGGCATATAAGAAACATAAAATTTTTATCCCGTTATTCAACAAACTAAATACTAAGATTAAATTTCAATGCAAATCTGCTCCTGAGCAGAAATGCACACAGCATTTTGCTGATCAGTGGTGGTTTTGGACCATGACAAAGCATTGCGGTGCTCATGTTTTAAAAGTATTTTTCTCCTCCCTTCCTTCTTGTGTCAATAAAAAGAAATCAGAAAAAAAGAGATTTGCAGTAACTATTTACGTAGTATCACTTATAAAGATACTGAATCTTCAGCTACCAAGAAATACCGGAAGCTAATAGATACTTTAAGTGTTTCCCTTTTTAACTAACAGTAGTTACCATAAAAAGTACACTACTACTAGCTCATGACTACTACCTAAAATACTTTCTGAGTACTAAGAAGCAATGTTTCAACATGTTTAAAGATTTATTCTTAGTATTAGAGAGAGAAAAGCCAAAATTTTTTTTTCAAATATATACAATAAAGACTTAATAAAACCTACTGCTGACCTGTATCTGATTTATGGCATATATTTGACTTAATGGAAATAAAAAAGAGAAATTAAATAGTACAAAAAAGGAAATTAAGTCAAAGTAATTATGAAATAGGATTGAAAACCAAAATATTCTACTTGCAATCTGTGCTTCAGTTGACCCTAAAACCCACACGATGATATTTCAGGCATGTGTTGGAAGAACAACTACTGCTTCTTTCTACATTGAGACAACCTTTGGCTAAAATCTGTCCCTACTAGAAAAACAGGTGTGCACTGCTAAAAGTTGTGTACACTTTCACTTTATTGTCACTGCATAAATACCATGCTTGGATGATTTAAGATGCTCTAAATCACAGTACACTGCACAGTACATCTTTGTTTCTTTTTTTCTACCTTAATAGATAAAGTTCTCTTAACTAGCAGGATTACAGAGTTTTGTAGTAACAGGGACAGTATGGAAAGTATTGCAAGAACAAACAACATCCAATGATGCTCTTTAACGCTTCAATAATTTTATTCATTTTGATAACAAAAAAAAAATTTAAAATGTTTCTTTGAAAGCTAATTTTACAATGAAAGTGTGTTTGCCTAACTTCGTTACAAAATTCCATATATGCAACATGCCCTCTTTGTTAGTATTCTTACCTGTGGATTGCATTTGTTCAGCTGGTCTGTTTGAGCAAACCTGTGGATAACAGTCTGTAAAACAGAATAAAGTCAATCTACACACTGGATACCAGTCAACTCGTTCAATAAATACTACATAAAACTCCCCAAACAACAACTTTTATTAAACATCGTTCAAGAATAACATTCAACATAGCAATCTACTTATATTTGTCTTTTTAATATTTGGATGGTAAAATTTTAAAATAGAGGATTAGTGACCCAAAAGGAATAAAATATGGCAATTTTTACTTACATTTTTTCCTGTTATTGCCTATTTGTTGTTACGTGGTTGCTATAAAAGGACATTGTTCCTAGATTAGACATTAAACACTAAGTATTTTCATGCAGGCTTTGGATTCCTCCTGCAGGTTACCTATAATGTAAAGGTTTGGCAGTAGGTGCAAGAGTGTATTACTATTATTGCTATATTTAGTTATCACCTAGTGTTACAACCTTACCAAAAGATGTTACAAAACAGTCTTTAGGAGAGACATCTTTGGGAATACCATTACTCCATCTGCACATTGCTACATAATGTGTAGTACATATGTACTACCTAATAATTTGAACAAGTGCAGTTGCTGTGTGTAATATACATGAAAAGTCAACAACTTTTTTTTTTTTTTTATGTCTAGGGGGTATAGCCTTGATAAAACATCACCAATAGAAGATGTAGCATTTGAAGCTGCACAGATTTAAGCAGCATGAGTGTTCTATTTGCTGATTTTCTGTTTAAAAATTGCATACTTTGAGGACTTAAAAATTCTAATTCTTTTGCTACTAAGAACTTCAGTACTTCATGTAAACAAGCTCCTATAAAAGTACTTACACAACATCATCGGCATCACTGTCACCTACTGAGACAATATATCCTAACTCAGAGTAATTGTTTTTTGAAATAGTGGGTTTAATTACTAATGTAGCACTCTTATCAGGATTAGATATGTGCCAATATAGAACCAAAGGAGTGCATGACTCTGTTTTTGACTTATGATAAAAAACATTCATATAAGTCAACAAAATACCAGCTCTGTGATATGACTGGTTTGAAAAAATAAGAGGAAAGTTACAGAAACACTGCAATTCAATTTTGTTGAACAACATTTGCTATTATTTCTCTCATATATTATACCAAGATTTCAAGTAGTTCACTGTGTCTTCTACACAGCCATGTCAACCAATTACCATTACTAAATTATAATTTAACTAATGGTAGTTACAGTAAATATAGCATTATTAAACATTGCAGGTTGAAAGGCAGTATTACTATTTCAAAAGGTTTTAAACTACCTACTTTATTAGCTCACTACTAAAATGAAAGATATAGTCAATAATATACATTTTATGCTAAGAAAGCATTAACTGTTGCTTACCGCCGCAAAATACATATGTTTTATAATGGCATTTTTCATTCTAGTAAGTTGCACTTTAGAGACGGCTTGGTCTGGTTCATTTGGATAGTTCATTTGGATATCTTCATAGTTGATTTGGATATCTTCAGTATTTTGTATTTCATTCTGTGCAGAGCAAAAAAAAAAAACTATGTTTCAAAGCTAATCGTCTAACCATCTTTTTAAGTGCTAAGTCTATGTTGTATTGTAAACCCTTCCGTGCCTATGTATGTTTCTACAATTGTTTAAGGGTATACATCATGTAGCAGATAAACAGTGGGGGGTTTGGAAACAAATCACTGATGCTGTAGGAAGCTGTAGCATAAGAACTATCATTGTGACCTTCCCCATATTTATTTTTCCTAACTGACTTTTAACTCAGTCACAATCCCTGTGGCTGAAGCAAGAGCTGTGTTTTCATAATGGATTCTCTCATTCTATTTCAGATTTTCCCTTAAATGTATAGTTCAAAACAAACGTATTTGGCATGTACCTAACTGTATTTCTAAACAAACATTGAGTTGGTTTCACATTTAGAAGATGAAGTATTTTTGGTAGAGAGTCTAAACAGCTTTTGATGAGCCAAGGATAACTGAACTCTGATGCATTAACTAGTCTTTACTTCTTGCAGCACTTTGTGCACATTATTTTCAACATGCTCATAAAAAGTTACATTCAAACAATTTATGTACAATCATGGCAAAAATTTATGAACTCCAGCATGCATCCAACAAAGCATGCATCCATTAAAGTCACTGTTTGAGACTAGCTCCCTAAAATCATGCAAGTGTTCTACTATCCTAAACCAATAAATTTGACACCTTGAAGAATCAAATCACCAGTGACAGTCCAGAGAGCATTTTAACAGTACTTACTAGGCTGAGATAATAAGAATAGATACTGAAATATAAACATGGAGTAAGGACTTGGTTAAAAAAATTTCACACTGAGAATAGTCTGAACATGAGTGCAGTTCCCCTGAAAAGAAGAATAAAATAATGCTATTTCGCTGAATTCATCATCTGGACACATATATGGATGTTCAGGGGAGGAAGAGGACTTATATTTGCTAGAAGTAGTAGTCAAATAGCAGAAATACAAATTTACAAAGCTGGAACAATCAAAAGAATTATATGCCAAGTACTTCTGGGACAAAGAGAAAAGAGCGTGTCCATAATATTCTTTGATAAAGCCTAATATGTTTGGACAAGTGCTGCGATTTGATTGCCTATGTTTTATTCTTTTCCTTTCAAGAGACAAGGAAGCTTAGCAGTTTTCTCAGTTCTTCAGATTCACTTAAATAGAAAACCAATGTTCTCTTGGCCTCTAAGGTGAGTTATTTTTATGAAATCCAGGGAAAAATAGTTCTGTGCAAGTTAATGGACTGGTTAAGAAGGAAAGTTGTTATCAGACATGGGAGGAATTCAGGGTGCATAGCAAGAAACACTTGATTTTGATAGAGATCAATAAAAGGTGAAGGAGTCATAAAAACTTGACACTCGGTCATCTATTAATGTAAGTGTCTATCTTAGCTGAAAGGTTTAAATGAGAACAGTTTCCCTGAACAAGTTTCATTAAGAGAGTAAGCACTTGAGTAAGAGCCCACATTGATGTGTTTTGTTCAGGATGTAAACATTAAGACCCTCCAAACCTTCTTCTCACCCTTCTCTAACAGCTTTACTACAGGGAGCACAGGATCTGAAGAATCTAAAGGGTTTTCAAATAGTAACAAACATAGTTTTAGCTCTTACTTGCTTGCAAAGGTAGTATTTTCACTTAGCAGTTGAACAAAGTCACCCCAGAGTCTGAGAAACTACCATACTAAAAGAATATTCTGAGGCCTTTGAGTAGTTCCAGATCAAAGTACTAAGAAGTTCTGAACAGTGCACTTAGTGAGCAAACAACTATGAATTACTGGGTGTCCCTCTTAAAAGAAATAGTAACAAAAAGTCTAGTGAATTCTGCACTGGCCCAGGACCATGTCCAGATGGTATCCTGTTACAGTGTTCCAGGACCATCACAGTAAAATAAACAAGTGATTCCTGACTTTCAGACAGAACCTCCGGTGCTTCTGCTTGTACTCACTGCCTCTTGTCCTGTCACAGGGCACCACACACAACAGCCAGGCTCTGTCTTCTTTGCACTCTCCCTTCAGGTATTTGTATGTATTCATGAGCCTTCCTACCTCTTGGATACACAGTTCCAGAATCAGAAAGTTTTCTTACCTTTAATCAAATTACAAAACATTCAGGCTGATCATATACCTATTATTAACACTGCACTGTTTACAGTAATCAGTAAAATTATTTTACTCACCTCAAAGAGGTAACGTCCTAGATATTGCAAAGGGTAGTGCCGAGCTTCCGAGAGACATTTTTTGTTTTGTATAGGAAAAACGTTATTATCGATGAATACATGAGTTATACTGTGCTCTGCATTATGAGATGAACATATGGTTGCCTTTCCAGCTTGAAGAACTCTAAATAAACATTATTTGGAAAGATGTGTTTACTGCATTATATTAATACTGCCTAAAGCTACAATATAATTCACAAACTACAAGCATGTAACTGCAACGGAATAAGACATGTATGTATGTATGGCACCGCACAAACTTCATTAGAAATATAAAAGGGCACTTAATAGCCTTTAGAAAACTAAAGAACCCACTTAACAAGACGTCTTTCTCCTCACAATTTAGTACTATTAATTAAAATCAATATATGCCTCCTACCTATCTGATAGAAAGTTTTACGTGTGCACTTTTTCAAATACCAAATTTGATGATAGCAGCTATAATTTATTGCATTATCTCCCCCAAAATGATGACAGTCTTTCAATTACATCTTCCTATAAATTAACCAGTTCACAAAAAAAGGAACACTTATTTTCTGTAATGTAATATGATGCTTTCATAATACAAATAACACATTTCCATAACACATTTACAGCATTGGTGCTGTCCAGTATCATATACAGAGAAGAGATTTGTTTGCCTTTGGGACACCATTACACAGAATTTTCCTAGGGACAATTTCAAGAGCTGTACTACTGCAAGTACTCCTATGTTTTAGAAAAGATGCCAGACAAAAAAATGCTGGAAAAAATAAGGTCTTATGACAATCTGGATATATGTTTTATTTTTCATAATCCAGGTATGTAAAAAGAAAAGGCTGCTGGTCTCACGCACTTACCCATCCAACAGCTAGTCACTAAAGGCAGGAAGAGCATAGAGAGAGTTAAAAAGACACAGTATTTTTAAATGTTAGAGAAACATCGGTCCTTCCCCAAAGCTATAGTGGCTTTTATGACTGAAAAGGGTATTTGCTGAAAACAAAAAATATCTTCTTGTCAGTTTTTCATTGACTGAGTAAAAGGATTCTCATGTTGAGTGTATGGGAAACAGTCTGGAAAAAAAAAAGACATCTTCCACAAAACTGCTTCTTCACCTCTCTTGCTGATGTAGTTCTTGTAAAAGCTTATTTCTATTGCAAACAGACAGTTGTGCAAGACATAATTTCAACAGTGTTATCCTGACGATCAGCATAAGCAGTTTTTATGGAAAAAGAAGAAGCATTTTTCACAAGAGTGGCAGGACATAATAAACTCTTCCACTCAGCCAGGAAAATAGCATACTTAGAATGCATTCAGTTGGTAAAAGCAAAAGATGGTAACTTTAGCTACACCTCACTTCGTCTCTACGAACTACAAAGAGACACGCACCTCTGATGTAGCACACAGCCCTGTACTATGATTCACCAAACTGCACTTCCCTTCTTGCCTGTGCATCTGTGGCATGCCCAGACCTGAGCACTCCTAACTAACTGGGATTTAAAAGAGAGCAGGACAGTTTTTGATTGAACAGAAAGCTCTACAACAGTGTCAGGAGATGTTTCTTTTACTGTACCAGATGCAAACATTACTTATATATGCCCTACTTGTACTTTTGTGAAGTGTTTAAACAAATTAATCCGAATGTGTAAGAAGAGTATGGAAAAGAAAAACACAGTCCCAGAATTCTTGCACTTCAATCATTTCCCCTTCCTCTGCTTTTCATTTATACTTTTGTCCTCCCCTTACAAACTATATATATTTACAATATATCATAAATATCTGATAAGTACAAATTAGATCTTCATAACTACAAGAAGCTGTTACACAGATGTGACACAAAGATCGATCAGGACAATAACACTGTGGCCCAGATTCATAAGACTCAGTTTCAGGTCACCCAGCCAAGTGAAATAAGGTATCCTATTCCAGCTACTATTTGAATCTAACACCCACATGAAATAAACATTCCTAAAATTTTTAAGTCTCTATTTCTTGCCTCATGAAAGAAGTTTCTCTTAGCAGCTTACTTGATAAAAACATACACAAATGCATGTTATTTTTGACACTATAGTAAAAGAAAGCAAGAAAAGCAGTGATGCTACAGATTTAGAGTAATTATAAAAATATGTAAATATATTAATGAAAATAATTCAGATTTTGGAGAGCTGAGGTTATTATGGGCCAAATTATCTGGGATGGAAGAACAAAAATATGTTCAACCATACAATAAGTATTCCATTGTGCATTACTTAAGCTTTAAGACATATACTCCTACCTTCTAATAGATGCCATTCGTTTATCACCTTCCTTAACAGGGAGGACAACTTTCCATCTGTGGAAGGCCCCTGGAGCACTAGAGAATGTCAGTTCTTCGCGCCACCTTTTAGGTGCAGATTGCATTTGAGGTGAATAATGGGTGTCTTTTTCAATTTCATATCCCCATTCGTACGTTGTTTCATCAAGCCATCTGCCACTTTCAGCACTATTAATTATGTACTCCTTAGTTAGTACCCACTTTCCTAAAAAGCAAATGAACTGTCAACCACAAGAGATTTTTTTTGTGCAGACAAATGGCAATCAGCTGAAGAACTAATATAAAATTAACTTAAACCTTTCTTGTGCAAATAAAAGCTGAAATTATAAGTACCATTTTAAAACTTCTTCCTGTTACAAGAGTTCTCCACTTCAGACTTTAGAATCAAAAATCTCACAATGCCACTGAAAATGATCATTCTGTTTTCTTTTAACGAGAAAGTGGTTTTTTACCCTTGCTAGATAAAATAATTGTCTATCCCCTCAAAAATCTCCAAATACATCTTTTCAGCTTCCCAGATTTTGTTCTTATGAATTCCACAGAACCTTGGCAAACACTTTATTTTTAATTCCATTTGACACTTACACAAATGTACTAAAATGAAGAAATATTTTACTACCAAAGACTTAAAAGAAGAGTTAAAGTTTTAGCATGTAAGCTCTTTTTCTTATATATTCTCAAAATTACTTGCACTGCTAGCGTAGTGAATATCAATATTCGGGGGACACAGTTTTAGACTTTTTTCTTTCCCCTTTCTTCTTTTCACATCCTTTTCTCTCATCCCTTGGCTCCACCTCCTCCGCCTCTCCTCTTTCATCTTCTGCATGTATTCTTTTGATACAGTATGTAATGATCTTCCCCTTTTCTCTGTCTCTCTCTTCTTACAGGTTCAGGTCAAGAGCAGTGGTTAGTATCCTGCTCCTGTATTGAAACACTACCTACAGAAGACACTGTAAGAGAAATTGACTTGAATTGTGTGAACCTAATTGGTTTCACAGAACAGCAGGGTTGACTGGCAAAATGTCTCAGTGCTGGAGCACAGATGGCACTTTTACAAAACCTAGCATAGGTACCAGTAGTTATGACTGGAAAAGGTATGTTGTGCACAACCTGTATGTTAAAACCACTTCCACTTAAAGTTTCCAAGTCAAAACTTTTGTCAGCACAACTGGCATCCTTTAGTATTACTTTTCAACCCTACAGAGCTCTAAATATATATAAACATTATCTTTCTTCATTACTTGCAGTAGGAATGAATACACTGTCTCTGCCATCAAGAGTAAGACCAATGATTATGCAAAAATAGCACCTCTTCAGGATTAAAAACTGCTGGATGTTATTGGGGAAGATTTGTAAGTAGAGAAACATGATAAGAGTTTTATGGACTACATGGTAGTGGTACACTACATATACCACATCTACTCTGTTCAAGATAACATCTCCACATTTTAAATTCCAAAAAGTGAGAAAACATTAACTCAAAGGTTTAGAATTTTTAAAACTAAGTGCTATGCTAGAAATCTATAGGCATTTTAATATTGTTTCCCTCATGGAAACTTTTGGTCATTTCCTTTTGATAATAGTGAGATGAAAATTTTACATTAGTACAAGGAATCATCCATATATGTATAAAATACATATATATATATATATATACACACACCCCTACATACAAACATGAAATCAAGAAATTTACAATTATCTTTAAACCCAAATACATGTTTAATTATTTCTATCTATTTCTATTATCTCTTAATTTAAGATTATCCATTCTAAAAATTGCCTTAACACTTTGTTATAATACAATATAGGGAAAATAAAGATCATGTTAAAGTCGGTATTGTGATATCTCATAACTAATAATAATGGCCAGTCTTCACAAGTGAAGATCCAGGGAAGGTCTTTACACCTTCCAGCCTGCGCATTGGATTTTTTAGGTGAGACACAGTGTGCGCGGAACTGAGCCCACCCTTTAATCCTAAGGTTCATCTGCCGGGGCCAAGCGAGCTTGGACGGTGGCAGCGAGGTCCTCAGGACGTAGATGGGTTGCCTTTAAGGGTTAACGAGCCCCACCTGCCCGGGAGTGGCCCTGACCGGGAATGGAACCCGGGTCTCCGCGGTGACAGCGCGGTGCCTTTACCACTAGACCACCATAACTACAAGATAGCCTAAACTCATCATAGAATCCTCACCTGTAATCAGTCTATAATGAAACATTAAAATACAGAATTCTCATTCCGAAAGCATTTTAGTTGCTTATTTATGGGATTGCAGCATCAGGCCTCAGTTAAAGGGCAACCAAGAGGAAATACCAGAGGCTTGTGTCAGAATGGCAAAAGTCTGGAATTTTTTCTTGCTGCATAAACAGGAAATTATAGACTGAGCTTTACCACTGCATGTTGCATATAAATTTGGTGTAAAAAATCCATTCTGACTATGCGTGTCCCTACTCTCCCTATCCTCTTTTAAGCAATCCATTTTCAAGTGTTCAAGTAATTTGCTCATGACTGCAATATCTAATATACAACAATGCTTTCTGTTTGGTAACAGGTGCAGATCTAACAAACGGAGAGAGCACGAATACAGTTTAGGTAAAAAATCAAAACAAAAAGAGTAAATCATAACTTGAACATAATACTACATTAAAAATCGACGATAATGCAAGAAGGATGCGGATTTGTAAGACAGTTCACTCACAAAATGAAAACAGATAACCCTTTTAACGCTCCTTTCAAGACCCAGCTGCTATCCAGATGCTATGAAGTTTAACAGCAAACCTTTTACTCACCAGCAGCGCAGGCAGCTAAGACCTTTTCACTCTTGCACAGCTTTTTTGCTACAAGATGTGTACAATTTCTGTATTTCTAACGAAACAAAAACAAAACAACACACTTGTATCACTGGAAAGAGTTTAAATTCCTTGGCTATTTATACACAACTAAACTAAAGAACAGTCATTTCTTTTAAGACTTGCATTTCTGCTTTCTGCTCTAACCCTCTTTTTTGTACTTTAGTGAACAATACCTTACTATCTATAAATACACAGTTCAGTTTAAACAGACATTTGAGCAGGGCCTTTTTCTCGTTTTTTTTAAATCCAGTTATTTGGATTATCCGTTTCTGGCTGCTGCTTGCCATCTGTTGAAAGAAAAAAGAATGAAAAGGAAACGTTAACACAGAAAATATACACCATGAAAAGTTGCTTGCAAGGTCTGACTAGTATTTGCTACTTCTTTTCCATTATAATGGGAAAACACACCGAGAAAAAAGAAAGCTGCCTGAGGCGGTACACCACATTTTAAGCCCTCACTGCCTGCCACCGTTGAGACATCTCAAAGGCGGTAACGGGTAGGCCCGAGACGCCCAAACTGCGGCCTGCAGAGGGCCGAGCCCCCCGCGTCTGGCATCTTGGCTCTGCACCGGGATGCCCGCAGGCTCTGCCGCTCAAACCCCTGCCCCGCTGCTGCGCGGGCCCCGCAGGTGCAGGGAGGCTCTTCACCGCCCGCTGAGGGGGAAACCCGCCGCCCCCTCTCTCACGAAAGCGCCACCGAGGTGCGGCGGGCTGGCGACGCTTCCGGACAAGATCTGAGGAGCGAGCCCCATGGCTGCGCTGGTGGAGCCCCTCGGCGATCACGTACAGAGACCACGGGCGTGGACAGCAGGCGCTGTGCTGGAGCCCTACGGCCCCTCGATCCGGCCCCGGTCCCCGCTGGGCGCAGCGCCCCGCGTTCAAACCCCGGCGCGATCCCGCCTTCCCCGCCCCGCCCCCGGATGTGGCGGCGCGGCCGTTCCGGGACGTTGTTACGGACGCTCCGCGGTCGCCGGGGCTGTCGGCGCGGAGCCGCTGGGTGAGTGGCTCCGGCGGGGCTGCCCCCCTTCCCCTCCCCTTACCGTGCGGCCCGGGCGGGACAGGGCTGGGATGGGCTGCAGAGCTGCGGAGAGCTCCGGGGCTCCCCGTGGCCGCCTTCTCTCCTCAGCGGCCTGTCCGGGCGCTGCGCAGTTCCCAGGTTCCTCGGGCGGCGGAGGCGCCGCTGGGTGCCCGCCCCTGCAGCGGGAAGGCGGCGCTGGAGTCCCTCTGAGGCGGCCCTGGCGGCCCTGCGGGCCCGGCTTCGCACCTCACCGCGGAGCGGGAAAGGGGCGGTCTGCCCTCAGATCGAGAGGAGAGGGTCCCCCCAGGGCTGGGGGAGGCGGGGACAGACTGGGGGCGAGTGGCGGAGGACGAGCTCGGAAACGCGCCGGCGCTGCCTCGGAGTCTGAAAATCACCTTGTCTGTTGCTCGGCAGAATTAAAATTGTGGAAGGCGGTCTGATAGGAGTGTGCTGGATGACGGAAGAGACCTCACAGACTAGGGGAAGCTGACAGATGAACCAGGTGGAATTTTGTCTAGATGCAAGCTGAAGTGTTTCTTCTGGAACAGGTTGGCTGTGAGAGTCAGGAAAGGGGCCAGGGATTTCTGACCCTCAGTAACATTTTCTCAGTGTCTCAGAGAAACTTTCAAAGTGCCTTGTGCCTTAGGATGGTTGGTCTTCAGGGCACGTGACCAGATACTGCTACAACCAGATAATCAAACCAGATACTGGGATTTCTGCCACATTAGTGAAGTGAAGGAATTCCTGCCCCACTGATCAAGTGCGTGCAGACTCTCCATTGTGAAAGTCAGGGTTTGATTTTTTTTAAATTACAAAGCAATAAAAAGAGCTCAAAATAATATTCGCCTTGTATCTCAAGCACTCAGTTTAGAATATAGAAATGTAGAAATGGCAAGATAGTGATTGTTTGTCAGACTTTGTTTTGGTGTTCCACACTTTATTTTGGTCCTTTCTGTGTTTGAGAGATGACTTTTGATTATTCCTGTGTCATGTAATGCACTGAATGGATAGCGCGCGAGAAATCTGTCAATGCTTTGTAGTGAATAAAGGTAGCTTTTTAGAACACTTTTATTCCTTTCTTCTACAACTTGAGACTAGAAGACATGCATTCTGATTCAAATGGAATCAGGAAATAACTTTCCTGAAAGCAAAACTTTCTCAACTACTGTGGTTTTGTCACTGCAGCTTAAATCAATAGGTGCAATGCTTTGAACTCACCACTGCAATAAAGCATAGGTACATAGGTGCTCCTTTGGAAAGAAAAGCCAAAACCACCTAGCTGCAGACATCTAAAATCTGACAGCAGGTTGGACACTTGATTTAAATCTGAATTTCCCAAATATTGCAATGGAAGAACAGTTTTTCCAGGCCTCAGATGAGTCCTGTGTTACTGTTTATGAAGTATTCCGGTACCCTGAATGCTTACTGAAGTTTTTCCTATCTTTTGTTTCCTTAACATTGCAGTTATATTTTTGTATGCAAACATAAAGAAATAACCATCAACAACCTTTATCATTAGTTTATTTGTCTATGACACTGAAAACAAATCAAAGTATTCAGAGTTAAATGACTACATTTATTACTTGCATTTCTTGATTGACAATGAAGATCAGTTGCATTTTCTATTTTGTACCTGTTGCATCTTTATACCTTCACTATTGGTTTGTCAGGACTGTAAAGGTATTAATTTAATTATTGTAAACTTTATTTTAAACAGTTTAATTCTTACTAACTAGGACTAGCTACTAATAATTCTTAGTTTTTTGCCACAGGACTGTTAGACACCAGGTCAGCAATTATTGGGTCAGAACCACTTTGTGGGAGGTGCGTGTGTGTGTGTGGAGGGGGAAGGGATGGGTCAGACTTTACGGAGGTGGTGGTGTATCCCTCATGGCAGGTCCCTGGAACCCACTTGGGGAAACTCCGGAGTAGCTGTCAGTCACAAACAGCCCGGGTAGACTATAACACACCACACCTCCTGGAGCCCCTAACCCAGCCTCAGGTTGACAGGGACAGTGAGAACACTGCCTCTCACCCTGGCCTGGAACCCCAGAGTGGCTGGTGGGTCAGAGACCCCGACTGGAGGGGTTGTCGTAGAGACCAGAGCAGATAAAACCAAATGCATGATTTTGCCTCCTGTCATGGCCCTGCCATTGGGAGGTGTGAGAGCTGGTCTTCTGCAAGGTTCCAGTGGTAGCTGTCTCTTCTTCTTTATCCTTCTCTTTTCTTGCTCCCTTTTCTTCTCTTTCTTTGCTCCTTCCTTGATGTTTTGGGTGGCTTGGAGCTGGAGGAATTGGATTCCACGTGGAGGGATGGGATTCTGTGTTGTGGAATATTATTTGCTGGGTCAGTATTGCAGTAGAACATTTTTGTCAAGCTTGTGTGTTGCACTTTTGAACTTTTTGCGGAGTTCTCTTATTTTCTCCCCTAAATTATTAAAGATAGCTCTTGGGAACAAGTCCGTGGGTTATTCTCTTGATGCTATCTTGAGGTATTAAAGAACCCTGTATATATATATATATATATATATATATATAAAAGTAAAACTCCTGGCTAAGCCTGTGAGCCTGCAGCTCCGGGGCTGGAGTGTTAGAGGCTGGAGGAGTCTTCAGCATATAATACTGTTAAACTGACTCTTAGTGAAGAAGTTGCATAAAACTGTGAAGCTGTGTCAGAGGTTAGGTTAGGCATTAAGAAAAAGTTCTTTCCCCAGAGGATGGTTGGGCACTGGAACAGGCTCCCCAGGGAGCACCAAGCCTGACAGAGCTGTAGAAGTGTTTGGACAATGGTCTCGGGCACGTGGTGTGACTGTTGGGATGGTACTGTGCAAGGCCAGGAGTTAGATTTCAATGATCCTTGCAGGTCCCTTCAAACTCAGGATATTTTATGATTCTGTGATGATGACCACTTGTTACCTATAAGAATTAGGTATTTTTTCCTTGTCTCTGGCACAAGAGTGTGGAATCAAAATAACCGAGGCCTCAAGCATTTCACATCTATTTTCACTTTAAAATACACTGTTACTGAAGCGTAGCTTTAAGAAATTAAGGTTTTTTAAGCTTCATTTTAGAGATGTTTGATAAGTTTATATTTCACTTACTCTCTGATTCTATTATTTTTTCATAAAAAGCCTGAAATATTTTCTTCTTTTCCATCCTTGTTGTGATCTCATTATTGTGGCTAAGTATCTCTTAATATTATGTTCCATAGGTTCTAGAGTAGGCCTTTAAACTGACATAGTACCTCTCGGTTCCTTTGTTCTTTTAATGTTTTGTCAGAAATATGGTTTGGTTGCTCAGTATTATACACTGTATTTAAGCAGTTTGTCTCTGGGTTTTAGATGGCATCCACTTATACACATTCTCTTCTACTCTGCATGTGACATCTTTTATATAAATTGAGAAGTGATTTTCAGTGCTACACAAATGGTATTTCACTTATAAAACTTCCCATTACATTTTAAGGACTATCAAGAATGGCTGTACATCTCTCATGGCCTCAGTTCATTAAGTCAAATCAGAGAAATAAATATTCCTTTTACTCTTTCACAAAAAGAGTTTACTTACAGTGCATCAGGTGCCCATCCCTTTCAGGCTTTCTTTCTTAGTTTTATTACCTAGAGAGACAAAAGAGACATTTAATTTTCATTACACTGTTCTAGCTTTCTACCTTGTATTTTTTTCATTCCTATATATTTTACACATCATTGTATTACCATTATGTCTTTTCCCTTGAAATTTCACTTCTTACAGTTCCCAGAGATAGCTTGTTTACTTCATATAATATGTGCAGTTATCTTTCTCCAGGTGCTGCTGCTGTTAATGGGATCATTGTTGATCCTTGTCTGTTAATATCACAACCTCTTTCTGCAAACTTCTTCCACTTTTTCCTTAATTTTGCAACTTAGTGTTTTGGGTTTGGGTGGTTTGGTTTTGTTTTGTTTGTGTTTTTTTGTTTGTTTGTTTGTTTGCTTTTTGTTTTGTGTGTGTGCATGTATTTTTTGTCCCTCAGAAAACTTTTGACTTCCTGTGTTGAAAATTGTATGTAATTACTTGTAGCAATTGTGATAGTGATAGTCCATGCATAAGCATCTCTTCCATTGTGAAATATAATCTGTAAGATTTTTTATCTAGTGAAAGATATTTTGCATTATTATTATTATAAAATAATATTATATTTTTAATATAATATTATTATATTTTGCTTAAAGTATTTTCCATCATGCAAACAAGTTTATTAGTTGACTGATTAAAATTTCAGAGT